AAATATGCTAATGTTTTCTAAAAAATTTTAAAATAAATGTCGTTTTAAAAAATCGAGACAACTTTTATACTATTTTTTCAACATTATCCAGCATTGGAAATGAAATACTCCCTTCGTTCCATTTTAAGTGTCGTTCTACCAATTTCACACACTTTAAGGTAGTTTTAATTGTGCTAATAAAATGACCAAATTATCCCTAATCCTAAAAATTCTACAATTCTTCTGGTACTACAACTTCACGGGAATTCCAAAAACTATTCTGTTTTTCCATATTTTTTCTTCCTGACAATCCCAAATCTACTATGTTCCTCCATTTATGGTTGGCAAAAATCCCAAAAACTACTCTGATTCTGCATATTTATTCACGGTGGGCAATCTCAAACTGCTCTGCGTCTCCAGGTTTATTCATGGTTGGCTTCATTATTAGATATGGTTGGGAAGCAAAATTATGGGCAGACAGATTTTGGAGGACAATTTGGTTTGCCAAAAAAAAAAAAAAAAAAAATCCTACATCGCTGCCTTTTCTTTCTTCATCTTCTTTCGCATTTTCGTTCAAATCAAAGCCCAAATCCGCCGATAGATTCAAATCAAAATTTGGGATTATCTTCTTCTTTTTCATGGAATTCATCAATTTTAGTCTTGCTTCTAATTTTTCTCCCTCTCAATTTTTTTTGGGTTGGAGAATTCCATATTAGAGATTGGATAAGATAAAAGGTTTTTTCTTCCCTGTAGTATCCACCATACAAAGAACTAACCCAACTATCGACTCATCGGGAAGTGCTTAGATACGTACTTCTGGTGACCTATTCCATTGAGGGGTAATTTGGGAAGAATTTGACCAAATATTTATTGATAAATGAGAACGACACTTATTTTGAAAGATTCTTTTCTTTTTTTTCTAAAACAACACTTAAAATGGAACGGAGGGAGTATCTTTCAAGCAAGTTCATCAATACAAATTAAACATTAAATAATGTATTTGAAATACAAAATTATTTTTATTTATTACTCATACAACTCATTAACAACCAATGAAATTTCAATATAAACACTACTCACTCCGTTTCATTTAAGTGTCATTCTAGAAAAAAAAAAAAAAACTTCCAGAATAAGTGTCTTTATCATTTATCAATAAACATTTGGTCAGATTCTTACTAAATTACCCTTCCATGAAATATGTCACCATAAGAAATTATCTGAGCACTTCCAGATGAGTCGACTGTTGGGTTAATTCTTTGTATGGTGGATTACAGAGAAGCAAAAATCATTTATCATCTCTAATTTCTAACGAAATTCTCCAATCCAAAGAAATTGAGAAGGAGAAAGATCAGGAGCAAGACTAAGATTGATAGATTCCATGAAAAAGAATAAGATAATCCCAAATTTTGATTTGAATATATCGGCAAATTTGGGTTTTGATTTGAACGAGAATTCAGAAGAAGATGAAGAAAGAAAAGACAGAGAAATAGGAAAAAAAAAAATTGGCAAACCAAATCGGCCTCCAAAAAAATCAATCCGCCCAGAATTTTACTTCCCAACCATATCTAATAATGGAGCCAACCATGAATAAACTTGGAGAAATAGAGTAGTTTGGGATTACCAGTCGTGAATAAAGATGGAGAAGGAAAATAGATTTTGAAATTTTTGCCAATCGTAAATGGAGGAACAAAGAAGATTTTAGGATTGCCATATATGAAAAAATCTATAAAAAAAAAAAAGAGTAATTTTTGGGATTCCCATGAAGTTGTAGTACCTGAAGAATTGTGAAATGTTTAGGATTAGGGATAGTTTGGTCATTGTATTAGTATAATTAAGGCTTCCTTAAAACTGTGTAAAATTGGTAGAACGACACTTAAAATGAAATAAAGGGAGTATATATTTTGAAATGGAGGGAGTGATAGAGATTAGATTTTGTCATTTTTACTATAGATCTATTGGGAAAAAAAGGGAAGTGAAATCCTTATCACCAGCTAAATCAATAGCCTAGCTACGGTAGTGCTCCTTGGGGCATGCCATCATATAGAAGACGGGTTTTGTAAGTACTTCTCCATTCCAATTCAATAGGCTCATTTAAACACAGATAGAAATTAAGAAAAAATGAGTAATATAGTTTAAATGGTTAGTTTTTTAGTAATTCACCTAATATGCGCTTATTAATGACTAAAGTTGGGTGAGATTGGGAGTTGAATTCAATTAAATGTTCTGAATTTCAATAATATTAGTGGTGGTATATTAGAGAATTCATAAGATTAATAGTTATGTCTAAATTTTCAGTTATTCATTTGTTGCCAATTTGAAATTAATTGAATATATGAGCCATTAATTAACAAACCCACAAAATCAGCAAAAACTTTCTATTTCGTAATGGTGAGATGAAAAAAAAAACGGAAAATCTTCAAATCTTCCATCATGTGTCACCCAAAAAAGATAAGAATTAATTTTATTTATTATACAATCTGATTTGATTTGAAATTCAAAAACAAACATTAAACAAACATTAATCCCATACGCGGGAATAAATCTATCACATACGAAAACAAACATTAAACATTATTAATGATATTTTAAAATTCAAATATAATTAATTTCAGAATCCTATGATATCATTCTAACCTTTTTATTCTCGGTCAAATGATCTCTTCTATTGACCGAGATAAGCCATTCATTATAACACCCAAAAAATTAGTCTCGACCATAATTTATGTCTAATTACAATATGATCAATATTATATATATGTTGAGGGAAAAACCATATACCCTGTGCAGACTATCAAAAACTCTCATTTTCCTTTCCGACGATGGTACAAACAACCTGAAACACCTCTTTTAATGTCAACCTCCAGCAACAACAACACATACGATTTCATAAAAGACTTGACACCCGTGGTTGTGAAGTCTGGCTGGAAAGTCAATATTCGAATTCTCAACGTATGGATAGCGTCTTTCGGGACGAACACATCCGTTGAAACTTTACTTATTGACGAACAGGTTACGAACATATTTCAGTGTTTATAGAACTTTAAAGTGTATCTTAATAAAAGTAATGCAAAATTTTATCGTCATATTCCTAATGATTTCAATTGTTTTTTTATATATCATATGAATATGATTGGCAGGGTCAAAAGATTCAAGCTTCTGTCCACAAAAAACTTATGTGAAAATTTCAAAAGATTCTTGAGGATGGAGAGAGAGAGAGAGACCAAACAAATCACCAACTTTGATTTGGCCGAATACACGGGAAATTACAAGTCAAACAAGTATCCCTACAATGAGTAGTTGACCTTACCATCTTCCATATCATGAATATTACAGTCATTTCACTACGTGAAATCATTCTCGTATTTTATAATTACTTTTTCTTCTTACCCATTCATCAATCATTATTTTTAGTAGTTGTATTATTATATTTCGCTAATAAAATTTTAACTCATATTTACATTTTTTAAATTTCACACATGTATACAACAATATTTATTTTGTCCTACTTAATTATATTTATTTAATATTACTTACCAAAAATTAATACAACCTTTTTACCAATTTTCTCAATTTTTAAATATTTTAATTATAAAAAAATATTTTAATTATAAAAACAAGTACCCAAATCCCGTGCATCGCACGAGTTTAACATCTACTTTTGGAATATAAAAAAAAAAAAAAAGTGAGCATATTGAATGGGCATGGAGGAGTAACTCTTGTAATCTTACTATGCACAATTACTATAACGATTGTTTAATTCAGCATTTATTATTCTTACCAATTATTTCCTTATGTATTGCATGGATATTTATCAGATAATTATTATACTCCCTCCGTTGCTTTGTAAGTGTCGTTCTACCAATTTTACACAGTTTAAGAAAGTTTTAATCGTGCTAATAAAATGACCAAACTATCCCTAATCCTAAACATCCTTCAATTCTTCGGGTACTACAACTCCATAGAAATCCCAAAAACTACTCTGTTTTTATAGATTTTTTCAAGCGTGGTAACTTCAAAATCTATATGGTCCTCCATTCACTGTTGGTAAAAATTTCAAAATCTACTTTGCTTCTCTATCTTTATTCACGGCTGGCAATCCCAAACTACTCTGCTTCTCTAGGTTTATTTATGGTTGGCTCTATTTTTAGATGTGGTTGGGAAGCAAAATTTTGGGCGAACTGATTTTGGAGGCCAATTTTGTTAGCCAAAAAATAATTTCCCTACTTCTCTGTATTTTACTTCTTCATGTTCTTTCACATTCTCTTTCAAATCAAAACTCAAATCCGCCACTAGATTCAAATCAAAATATGGAATTATCTTCTTCTTTTTCATGAAATCTATAAATCTTAGTCTTGCTCCTGATCTTTCTCCCTCTCAATATCTTTGGGTTAGAGAATTCTATTAGAGATTGGAGAAGATAAATGATTTTTACTTCCCTGTAATTTACCATATAAAGAATTAACCTAATGTCGACTTATCAGAAAGTGCTCAGATATTTACTTCTGGTCACCTAATCCATGGAATGATAATTTGGGAAGAATCTGATCAAATGTTTATTGATAAATGAGAATGATATTTACTTTGGAAGATTTTTTTTTTTACGACATTGAAAATAGAACGGAGGGGGTTACAATTTAGGGCCTTTTTGCTATTGGACCTGATCGAACGACTTTGCATCGGCTCATACCATTCATGTATTAAGTTTACCAACTGCTGAATACCGGCCCAACACACGCATTTTCCTTTGTTAAAGTTGCCTTGGTGTTGGATTGTTCACGTTTTCAAGAACTTGCCATGGCTAAGTTTCCATATGACCTCCCGTTGGGTTTCATGGCTGCTGGGTTCCGAAGTTGAAAAACCAGCACAAATCCGGTGAAAAAGTATAAATTAATATGCAGTACTGATATACATTAACAAGGTAAAGTTGAGCACTTTTGAATGTTGAGTCATGACCTATATTAGTAGTTTGGAGTCTGTAAGTACTTGGCAGCAGCAGTTGGAGCTTGTAAGTTGTAACACTATGAATTTAGTCATCTCATTCCCATGAACTGCACTTTGAAATGGTATGGAGACTGACTGAGATAAAGGATTCTCTGAGTCTGCCGGAAAGTTGAGTCTCAGAACTCAATAACAAAAAATAACCGGTGAAATATGAGAAATTCATGCCTGGAGGTACAATGTTTATATACTTTAAGTTGTCGGATTACGGAAGAATATATCTTATTAACAAAAATTGGCAAAATAGCCATATAATGGTTTCTACGATCAATCAAATCAAACAGACTCATGCTTGGAAAGGTGATCTTCAAAAAATGATGCATCCAAACTCTTGGTTAGGTCCCGCTTCAGTTTCAATTTTCGTCTGAATAAAATAGGAAAAGAATTTTTTTTGAAGCATCAAGCAGCTACACTTCAGTCCCACACCACCTGAACTTGATCTGATAGGCTCTCGGCTCTCGCGACATACTATTTCATGTACAATTGTATAAACGCCAAAAATTTCTTTCACAACGTGTGATACACTCGTACTAGTCACCTGCTCGGGAACATTAACGAATGTGCAGCTGCCATGTGGAACCAGTGATCTCAACTCTTCTGGTCAGTATATACAGCATCAACATCATCCAGTTCAAGAAGTTTAGACACAAGTTCCCTGTTCAAGTCCATAGCTTCATCATCTACCTGAAATCCACAAAGTTAGCCTATTCAGTTACTTGTACAATGTTTCCAAATACTTCATCTAGTTAATAAAAATTTAAACCTTAAATGGCTTTGTTGAATCTAAAAATGGTATGAACTCCCAGAGTTTCTGGGTATATGGCTAATATAATCAAAGTTCTTGAAAGAGAAGTGATGTTCGAAAAGTTCTGAAAAATGAAAACTCCTACACAATCACCCTCGAAGTCAAATAATAACAGCGGAAAAGCAGCAAAACATGAGTAATCATTTCATTTGCCAATTTAGGAGAGATACCAGTTGGCTGACTTTCTTCTAGTCACCCAGAGCTACATCTAAATTCTTTTCAAGAATATAACCTTCATTGATATGGTGTCGTAAGACAAGAAGGCAAATTTTGCAATGGTTATGGTCCTATTTTCGCCTACCATGTGCCAATGTAACAAAACAACCTCAAATGAGAGTTTGCTTTTATGAGTTAACCTCAAACAAGAGTAACAATTTAAACTTTTGCTGGTGAATGTGTTCATTTACATAGATGTTACAATGAAGTTGGCAAAGCAAGAGTTGGCTTTGTTAAAGCATCAAAGTTCTCTACACTCTACATTCGTTCTCACAACATCCATAAAACAGCCACTCAGGCCAAATCAGTTCAGTATGACAATAATTTAATGGACTCTTCCGAAAGCTTCAAGATAAATATGCACACTTTTTCTATGGTTGAAAAGAGTAATGTAATTCATTCTTCTAAATTTGCCTACCTCAATGGGATTTATGGGAAGTAGCTCAGATCCATTATCAGTTTCACAAGGTATTGCAGCTTCACGCAGCTTTGTCAGTATTTCAGTGTAATTTTCTGATGAGCAAATAACTTTGTAGTATCTACCAAAACGACAAGTAGGATGTTAAAAACTTCTACATCTGAATACCAACCAGTTCAGAATCGTAAAATACATAAACAATAAGTTGCATTTTTCAAATGTTGCAAATATTTGAACAATGCCAAATCTAACATAAAAAATTCTAGCTTCTACACACCTTTATCCAATATATATCCCCCCATAGGCCCTAGCACCTCGAACCCATCACATACAAGACAAAAAAGTATAAGTGAAAAAAGATTCTAACATGCATTAGTACATAATCTGTAGATAGGTTAGATAAAAGATCCACATAATCTTTGTATTTCATACAATTATTTCATTTCACAAGCTGAAGGAAATAGCCAGTACCTCTCTGAGATATCCTCTTCAGAATCATCATCAAGCATCGGAGGCTCTATCACATCTTCAGCACCAGCATCTAATGCAACAGTAAGGAGCTCATCTTTATCAACATCTGTGACTTTTATGTTTGCAACACGAGCACGCTTGAACTTAAACAGAAGGGATCCAGAATCAGCCATCTTCCCTCCATGGTCCTTAATTACTCCTCTGATAGCTTGTATCGATCTGTTTGTATTATCTGTTGATACCTCAACGATTACACCAGCTCCACCAAAGCCATATATCTGATAGATAATAGGAACAAACTTCAACATGAGCTACAGCAACATTGAATTAACCACCATGAAGGCTGGATGGAAAGTGTTAGAAAAGAGGAAAAAACTCTAGAAACAGGCACAATGTCAGAGATCAGTGCTACCTCATAGATTTTTTCAGTGTAGGTTTCTTGTCCCTTCTCTAAAGCTCTCTTAATGTTGCGCTCTACAATTTCCTTAGGCACATCAAGCTCCTTAGCTTTTTCAAATAATGCTGCGAGAGCAGGGTTAGATACCGGATTGGTACCACCTCTCTTAACCCTACATCAAAACCAAGAATCAGCTGAGCTGAGTACAAAAGAAATGACTAATACCCATTGCACCATAAGCCTTTCAACTACACAAACTAACTTAAATATCTTCCAACTCTACCAGACTTATTGTAACCAAATGCTGGTGTAACAGTATTTAGAGGATTCAAAAGTTCCAAACCGAGGGGTTGAAGAGAAAATACTTACGCAGATACAACTTGTTTTCCAATTTTTGAGCATAACTTTCCCTTCTTAGCATCCTGGGCAGTCTGCGAATAATAAAATTAGGAAAAGAAATAAAGAAATTACGTTAATGATAAAGTAGGTATCACGATAGCCAGCTCTTGTACCCTGGAATTACAGCATTATAGAAGAACTTATGTCCCTCCACTCACATTTGTAATTTCAAATTTTTCCATAGAATTTTATTGTCTTCAGCACCCATTCATAAGAGAGGAAAAGAGGCAAGATAACAGGACTAAACCACAAGGTTATTGAACTCAGATCACGTGATCATTCAATTATCCTCTTTGCCCTAGTTCCAACATCTCAACCTCAACATTTAGGACAACAGTTGCACAACCAAAATAATCCCTAAAAGATACAACATGCAATAAATTTGAAATTAAAGAACCAATTTGATCCATCATGAAATAGTAACTACGACCCATCATCATGCTTAGGAGTTAAGATTCACTTTAGGTAGAGGAAACATCCAATCATACAGTCTTTTTCAAGCCAACCAAAATAAGAGAAGACAACTCAAGTAACAAATGTAGCAAATTTTTAAGAGAAATCCAGCATTGAGTTCTTGCAGTCAGGCTTTTAATCAAACAACTTCTCTCGGGCTTTTAATCAAACAACTGTGACGAGGTATAACAGAGTTGAATGACATTATCATTTAGCAAAACTATAACAGAGAGCAAATACAATTATCAAACATAATGAAAGGGAAGAAGGAAGTAATACACAGACACAATACAGACATATGTTTACTTACCTTCCTGCCAGCAATTTTGCAAGAACGTCTACCCATACAAAGAGGGGCAAAAGTTCGAATCTTCCGAGCAGAATTGCAAGATTGGATTTGAGAGGCTGGAACCCATTTGCCATAAGTCGAGTAATGTGAGCAAGATGAGAGCTTGCCTCTGAATAATAAAGCACCTGCATCGAAACACACATGGAATCAATTTCAATGGCATAGAAGAAAAAAGTTCGAAACTTTACAAAAAGGAACAGAGCAAGAAGAGGAATTCGCTTGCTGGGTTTCGAGTCTAGGGAGCGGGGAATTTACTCTGATAAGTGAAAGAGGAAGAGGGTTTAAGGGAAACCCCATTTGAGAATCTGCAAAGCCATGAACCCAACACTCTCGTTGAAGTAACAGTAGCCATTACTGCTCTTCTGTTTTATCTTTATTATTATCAAGAACACTTCGGTTTGCTGAAGAATTAAAATGATTTCCTTTATTTTGTTTTTAAATCCCGACGTAGCTGAAGAATTAAAATCGGTTTGCTTCATCAGGCGTCTATCAATCAGATTATGATTCCCTCCCTTCTCGTTATAAAACTTGCCTGATTGTGACTTGCAATGTTTTGTTGCTATTCTCCCAAATGTCATTTCTTTTCTTTTCTTTTTGTTTTTTCTTTTTCCTTCATTTTTATTTTTAGATGAAAAGAATAACAAAAGAAAATACTCCATATGATCTATCAAATATATATTCCATATGAGTAATATAGTAACACTCGTTGCTATTCCTATCAGCAAATTGATTATTTTTTTAAAGTACATTTAGTTAGTGTAATATTGTGAGTCTTAGAACAACTCTAATTGTCCATTTATGGACCTGAATTTGGGAACATTTGTCAGTAGTTTTTGACATCGAAATATTGTAACTCTGTTTATAACAAAATTTAGTTAAATGCATAAAAGAAAAATAGAGAAAAAGTGGCTCAGCCGGAATAACATACAATGAACTTGATTTTTTTCTAATTAACGAGTCAGTTTATAAGTTTATAGATATAAACAAGTTTACCATTGAAGTCGCCCTTACATAAAAGTGTTATTAAAAAATCATTACATTTCGTTTATTGAGTAAATTAAGAGTTTAGAAGAAGGGAGCTAATTAGTTCAGCCTCAAACAACATTACTTGCTAGGAATTATCGCTACAAGAAAAATGTAATGATAATTAATTAATTTAGGAAATGATGGAACAAACCCTTAAATACTAAACTAATGGACTTATACCCCAAATGATAATTATTTTTGGACAGAAGAAAAGAATAATCAATTAGGTCGAAGAGAGGAAAGGAGGACATCTTGGAGGGAGCTATCTCTTTGCATTGCAGCTTTGAACTCTTCAAACGTGACTTTACCATCATTATTTGCATCCATTAGATCAAATATCTCGTCCAACTTTCCAGGTTCTGTGATATCCACCGGAAGACAGTCATCCGGCAATGCCTGCAATCATCAGACAGAAAACCTTACATCTCGAATTCAAATGTTATGTTACTAAAGATAAAAAAGGATTTATAATGAGATCTAAAAATGTTACCCTGAGCATTGATGCTACTTCTTCCTTGCTAATGCATCCAGATCGATCTGTGTCATACATCTAAAAACCAAATTGTTAAATAAATAAAGGTCAAGTTCTTCATTTTTTCAAGTGCCAAATGAAAATAGCCAATTAATGAACTTGTCTACAAGTACAAGTTTGTCTTGGTTTTAGTTGGCTGATTGAACAAAAAGGACTAAAGAAGAGTGTACCTGGAAACATAACCGCAGCGCATCCTCGCCCTTTGAATACTTAAGACTAGAGAAACCACCCACAATCTCTCGCATGTCCACAGTTCCATCCCGATTGTTGTCAAACAGATCAAAGATACGAGGCGCTAGCGGAACAAGCGACGACATTTCCATGGATTTCAACACTTCCTCAAACTCTGCAAGTGTTGCATTCTCACCATTTTTGCATCTGCACTTCGCCAATTCACAAACTTAAACCAAAATGACACTCCTTTTCCGTCCCAGAAAAAATAGCCCACACCGAATTTTAAGATTTGACAAATCTTAAAATTCAATGTGCACTTTTTTTTTTGTGGGACAGAGGGAGTACTAATTATTGGATAGGGCATCCAGTTGAATTTTTACTTACATTCTCTTGAAATGGATTTGGAGATTCTCGAGTTCCTCAGGTTTGAGATCATAAGCCCCCACCAAATTTTTAAGCTTTTTGGTTTTGAGGGAAAAGCTACTACTCAAAACGCTTGCCATTGCAGCAGCTCGGAACTTACGCCTCGCGTTGAAGCTCTGAAGGCGTGAAACAATCTCCGCATCCATCTGTTCTTGCTTTGCCAAATCCCCAGTGACCCATGGATGTTGAAGAATCTGTGTAATGAAATGTCACCCGCTATAAAAATGATTAAGGTAATGTGATTTAATTAGTCAAAGATCATTGGATGAACCTATTAATTTCATTGGAATGCGAACATATCGATGATTGATTGTAACAGATTGACCTACACAGAAGTGATCAATGCTAGTTTCGATAACATTTCGTATAACTAGTCCCTAAGAAAGTGTCTGTAGAATGAAAACAGTACAATGAACGTGATTCTATTTTTTGGACGAGGGAATATATATTTAGGTTATTAGAATCAAATAGGCATAAATGTATATGAATATATAAACCTCGGCAGCGCTTGGTCTTCTCTGAGGATCAACTGTAAGAAGACTGGAAATTAGTTGCCTTGCTGAAGAAGTTATGCTCTTCCATGTTTTCTCGTGAAAGCTGAAAGACCCCTGCATTTGATTACCATTTTTTACGCAGCAATCAATTATATATATCGGCTCCAACTTAAAACTATCTAGCAAAATACTAGTAGATATGTCCCAAAAAATAGTTCACATCAAATTTTCATATTTTTATTAAAACAAATATAAATCTCAAAACTCAATGTGAACTATTTTTTTAGGGCAGAGTGAGTATGTAAATAATATGTATACGATGAGTACTAACTTGCAATATCATCTGTTGCTTTTGTCTTGTTGATGGCGCGATAAAAGGCGGATACCTATACAATTGATCAGATTAATTTTGTTATAGATAGATAGGTCATAGTAAGCCTCATCTGTACAAAGTAAATGTGTTATTCAAGTTTACACGTTCTTACGTTTACTCTTTTGTTTTCTAGACTGGGAGAATGACCTTTTTATCCTAAGGTTTGAGCCACACCATCTAAAATATCCCAAAGTTTAAAAGTATGTCATTTTCATCCCAAACTTTTCAAAAATATGTAATATTAGGACATTTGTTAATTTTTTCAAGTTATTAATGGCGATATTTCATTCAGTTTCTATTCTCCCATTTTTTTTTGTCAACAAAATTTTAAGCTTGCGTTTGGTAAATTTAGTTCATGCCAAGCAAAAAAGGTGCATGTCTCTGCATCAATTACAATACCAATTTTTATAATGATGCTACATATTTAAAAAAATAAATGAAATAGGGCTTACTTTCTAATTAGGACACACAAAAAATCTCTCATGATTGTTATCAATCAAGGTGAATCTTGGATTTTTTTTTTTTCTAAGCAAGGGAAGAATGGATGATGTGAATACCAAATTAGGTTTAGCTATTTTTTTTATAAGGTGGGAGTTAGTGAAATGTGTTAAATGATTAAAAGAATTGGGCGAGGAGAAACAGAATAAAGTACCACCACTAATTAATTAACTGGAGTTAAAAATTTAACGAATATCCTAATGTAACATGTTTTTTTAAAATTTAGAATGTAAATAGTATGTTTTTAAACTTTGGAATGTTTTAAATGGTGTGGTCCAAATTTTGGGATGAAAAGACCCATTTTCCCTTTCTAGATTACTAGCATTCGTTATGATTAAGTCTTCACTTCATCACAAAATAATATTCTTCCCATTATGCAGTTAAAACCTTGGCCGGCCGGCACGTTTCCAGTTTGGTATCATCATAGTGGCAGTGGTTACAAATTAAATTGGCCACATTTTGATTCCAACTGCTAAAGATTTGGCCTCTAGTAAGATGACCAAAATATTCGATGATCTTTTCTTGTATTCTTTCAAAGAGAAAAAAAAAATTAAAACAAGATTAGAAATATCAAGTCCAAAATTATTCACATTTCCTAGCGAGCTAGTTAAACCTACCAAATTACAAACAAACTACTAGTAACAAGAATGTATTGTGAAAAAAAAAAAAAAGTAAAAAGAAATTAGTTTTAAATCAGTCAACGCAAATTAATTGATCAAAAACATACCCGGAGAGTAGGATGTAGAGAATGACTCCAAGTGACCAAAGATCACTTTTGGTCGTAATTTTGTCCCGAGAAAGTGCTTCCGGCGAGACATAATCGATCGAACCAAACAATCCAACCACAGAATCAGTAAAATCCTCTAAAGAACTCAACCCGAAATCCATAATCTTCAAAGGAGAATCCTCCTCTTTACTCAAGAAGAGACAGTTTTCAGGCTTCAAATCACGATGAACAATCTTAGCCTTATGAATCGCGTTTAACCCTTCAGCAATTTGTCTAACCACAGCCGCGGCACCGGCTTCACTATACCTTTCTTGCGCCACAATCCGGTCGAATAATTCGCCGCCGGAACAAAGCTCTAAAATCAGATGAACTCCATTTGGATCTTCACAAACATCATGAAGATGGATCACGTTGGGATGTGGCGAAACGTCTTCCACGATTTTCCGCATGACCAAAAGTTCATTCGTTAGCAAAGCATCCGAAACTAAAGCTTGTCTTGAAGCTCTTCCAGCAGCCATATTAGTGTTCCATGGTCCAAATCTTCTTAGTGTCTTAATGGCTACTTGTTGTTGTTGGGTTTTTGATGATTTCTTAAGCCCTCTTCTTACAACTGAAAACCCTCCTCTCCCTAACACATCTGTGACTTCATATTCATCATCAAGTGTTTTTGTTTCTTGTCCCATTTAAATTCTTGAAGAAGAAATTGAAAGAGCTACCTTGGGGGAAAATGATGAAAAATATATAAAGGGTTTTTAGGATTAATGAAGGTCAACTGTATATGAAGAAGAGATGAAGCTGCAGCTTGAACAATGATTAGAGGGTTGATTAAGAAATGTTAGGTAGAATATTAACAACTCTACATGGAGCTATTAAGCAAAATTGTGATTGCATTATTTTTTAGTTAAGTAGGCACTAAAATATATAATAAAGATTTAAGGTTGCATGAACTCAAAAAACAAAAAAAAGAAAAAAAAAATCGCAATGACCAGGTCTAACTAGAGTTTTTCTTTTTTATTATTCTCCACAAAGTTGAATTAACCCTTCTGATATTATTCTTATTGAGCTTTAGCATTTGGACCTTCTCATTTTCAATCATTGTGGTTCATAGTTTAGGCTCGGTAATGGTCCTGTAACCTGGTTAACTTCCCCCTTTTGTTTGGTTCAACATATTCGAAAAAATGCGACCAAATTCACATTCTCGGCCCCAACCAAGTCAAAATCGGATCTCTCGTCTGAATCATATATGCCCGAACTCCTGAATTTTGTCCTTGATTAATCTAGATAGACGGTAACTGAAATTTAAAGATTATTATGTGAAATTGTTTTTGTATGCGTTATGACTTTAATATTGTTAACATATTTAAGGGATATTTATCTCTTGATCATGTTATGAATTATTTCGAACCAACTATCATCGACCAACATGGTAATGCAAATTAAAGCAATTTGTTTTCAGACTCTCTCTACGTTCCAAACGTAAGCTTTAACTTGCTTATCGTCTTTAAAGGAGGCTTCAAACCTCGGTCTAAAAAGGATCAAAATTTTCACATATTGTGAATTGCTTACTCTCGATCTTAATACCTAATTTCGGTAAAAGCACAAGAAATTATCGAACTTTTGCATAGTTTAATTTCATCTTTAACTTTTTGACAAATTACTAAAATAAGTAAAGAAAATGTAGAACAAGTACGTAAGTTAGCATATAATAAGATGCATTGCAATAAATAATATATTACTTCATTATAATCAGGTACCCTTGTAAAAAAAAAAAAATTAAAAGAGAAATGAGAACAAATGAGAAACAGAGAAATGAAGCTGATTCACATATGCTAAACAGAGAAATGAGGAGGTATTTGGGATTGTTGACTCCGCCCAAAAGATTTCTAATGAGCATGAGGGTTCAAATAAAGGTGTACATGGTATGGAGAAAAATATAGTTCTTAAGACAGGTTCACTACAAATGCATCAATATATTGTTCCAATTAAAATTGGACTTGACCTAATAAAATATCAAGCGGTTGTGGTCATAGATAATCTAACTCATATATTATGGAATTGGGATAGGCCAAATGACTTTGATCGTGAGGATGATTTAATGATCGATGCAAATAATGTCAGTCGGCGGCAGAGTTCTTCTCTAAAGGAACTGTCAGCTAAGTGGTGAAATGAGGTGGACCAAATAATCAAAATGATGTCATGGATAAAGCGATAGCGTTGGGATCTATGGTCTCAAGTAGCCTTTAAGATTTGCTTTCACGTTATTTATTTAAATTTTTCATGAGTAACATTATTCGGAATGTTTAAGAGATTGACTCGATTAAGTTTCGTCGAGTCATCGTAGAGTTTTTACGCAAGGATAGGATTGTGACATTGTAACATGATTACTGCAGAATTGTAAAATTGCGACGTGTTCACTGGAAGTCGACATTAAATTTTTACTCTTATGATAGTTTTGTATTTTAACCTTTGGCCTCGTTTATTGTAAAAAAAAAAGAAAAAGAAAAAGAGAAATCTATCAAAATTTGATCCGAATTAATTTTGGAAGAGTCATTTTGGATGTGTGACTTTGTAACCAAAAAAATAAATAAAAATTTCTCTCCTGAATCAAAGGGTCGCTCATCAATTGAATTACTTAACTGGACCGTTGCTTACCTTTTTTTTTTTCCTTTTTCTTTTGGGTGCAAACCATTGTTTTTTTTTTCTTCAGTAGTTTGATTGACCACTCAATTTATTAAGATTTATTACATTAAACTAAAGTCGTTGCTTTAAGTAGTAACATGTGCCAACTATCCATATCTTTCTAACAAATCCAACCTATCATCTTCCTCTTCCAGCTCTTTTCTTAGCTCAACATAATCTGTTCAATATGATTCCTTTTCATCCATCTTACCTTTAAGATTTCTCGCTACCATTTATGAATCTTTGTTTTCTTTTTTCGTTCGAAGTCACGATGAGAATTGTTAAATGAATGAATGAAAGAAAATGGCCTCATGTTCCCTTGTTCCACATGGATGGAAGAAAATATTTGAACCCAACATATATACCCCATGTGCTACTCCTCTCATCACCAATTGATTTTGACGTGAAATCACATATGGGCTTATATTTGGGTCTTTCAAGATGGTATCAGAGCGGGTTTTAATCCGCGGATCTGTGGGAGTTGTGGGACGAGGTGGTCTGACCCAGATTGGGTCTTATAACTTTGGTCAACCCACGGAAGAAATCCGAGATTTGACTTTGAACTTTAACTGGCCTGGCAGGCGACGGTTTATCTGGGAAAATAACCGATCGCAAGATTGAAAAAAATCAGAAAAAAATATATAAAATTACCTGTCCAAACCCATTGGGCTTGAGAGGGGCGTGTTAAATGAATGAAAGAAAGAAAATGGTCTCATGTTCCCTTGTCCCACATGGATGGAAGGAAATATTTGAACCCAACATATATACCCCATGTGCTACTCCTCTCATCACCAATTGGTTTTGAGGTGGAATCACATGTGGGCTTATATTTGGGCCTTTCAAGAAAAATGTGTAGCTCGTATATATTGTGTAAAAAAGTGTTTAAATTATGAATTGTCAAATTTATGATATTATACGTACGGTGTTAATTTTCAACACGACGACACGATTTACAGAGACAATCTGACAGGACACGATAAGATTAACCCGATTTGAGTTTTTATCACATTTTTTCTTCAAAATAAAAATTATTAATCACGTGAAATACATAACACGAAATTGAGCCGATAATTCGAATTGACAACCCTTTATACATAAAAAAATTTCAATTAAATTATATATATATATATAGAAGGGTGTTTAATATATGCAAACAAACAACATTTGACCAGCCTTCTTTATGTTCCTTTCGAATTTTTAATCGGGAAGCAATTTAATTGGTCAAATGTGAATTGCAAAATTTCTAGCATCTCCAATTGCCGATCTAACTCATCAAATTTGCTAGTATGTCTACACAATCTCAGTTAATTTATAAGACAGTCGATTTTGGAACATGGGGCATTACGTACAGCTGGATGTAGGATCTCTCCAAAATTGACAACAACTCAGCTGCCTTAGAAAGTCTTTGACAAGCAAATATACCTTATGTTAATTCGGATTTCCACGTTCTGTATGTTCACATATATTATTATAAATATTATAAAAAAATAAAGCAAATCCTGATTATTATTTTTAATGCACAACTTGAATAATCTCAATTCTCTTCATGCAATAGAATAAAGACTCATTAGTTTACAACAAAGCTCTAGTTGGTACAAACTTTTAGTTAAATTTTTCTTGGAATCTATCAAAAAAAAGAAAAAAAAAATACTATGACAAATCCACTCATGCATGAACTCCCAATTTCGCACTTGAATTTGTCGCCCCGAGATTGTCTATGTTGATTTACCTCTTACTGTGATTTGCAGACTATTGCAGTGAGCGTGGATTTACCCATCTCTGGTGAGAATCTCGTTGTCACCAAAAAAAAAAAAAAAGAAATCTATAAAATATTGATTCAGAAATTAAGTAAGTAATAAATAATAGAAATATCTGTTTTAGAACAATAATTCACATTAATTTTTAAAAAAATTTAAAAACTAATCTCAAAACTCAATATAAATTTTTTATGAGGTATGAATTTTTTTTTTCCAGATGATTACAGTTTAAACACCAAACACCTTGTATGCATGAAGGGTTCTTTTGGGAGTTTTTGGTAAAACTAGACGATAGTTTTGAAATACATTTACAAATAAGTTAATTTGATTTTTATTTTTATTTTTTAATACAAGTTTTAATGCTAGTTATCTTCAAATATAAGATTGTTAAATAAAAAATGAGTAAAACTTTTATACTTTTGGTGACCTTATACTTGAAATAAGAAAACCTCCACCTAAACTAAAATTTACTAGTGAATGTAATAGTTTGTAGTTTGTACCATGTGAATACAACAGTTTGAATATGAGAACAACACCGTCACTTTTTTGGTGTACATGTTTTAATGTACTCATGTATATCGTGCCAAAGGTATTCATGTTAGGATTGAGTGGCAATTATATTTCTAAGGTAAATTAGAAACATTCAAAATCATTAGCACTCTATTAGTTTGTACCATTATCATTTTAATAGTCAATGGCAATAAAGAACAAAACATTCTCTTCAAAAAAAAAAATTATGTCATCAATCAATTTAATCAATCACTCTCCCAGCCATTAATTGCAGATGTGAGAGTAATAATAATTTGTTCAAACTAGTCAAAAGTAACCTTAGTGCCATTTTTTTATATCTTTATTAAGTCACATTAATTTTGTAAAATAGTATTACAGTTTGAAGTAATGAATTAGACTATTGTACAAATTATCGATTTGGACCAAGATAAAGCAAGGGTACACTTTACAATGGATTGAAATGTGTTTTTTAATTTGGTTAATCAAGTACTCTCTCCGTCCCATAATGGGACGGAGGGAGTATATAGTAAGGTTTCCATGAATCTGATATATATATTTTTTAACTTGCAAATGATAGTATTATAAAGTACAAAAATTCATCCAGTGCGAATTCTTAAAAGGTCATAAAGTACAGTATATTTATTTGATTATTAAAAATTAACCCTTCTAAAATAACAACTTAAACCTTAGGCTTCTTCTCTCACAGTCACTATCTCTATCACCAGTCACTGCTGTTGTCTTCTCTTTTACTCAAACTCGTCTGAATGTCTTGTCTCTCTATGTGTGTGTGTGTGACTGTGTGTAAAGTGTAACAACTCCTTCACCCAACCCCCTCCGAAAAATCTCTTCATTTTCTTTTAAACCTTTTTCACTTTTGTTTTTCTTTTATCTTGTCTGTCATTCTCAAAGGGGCAGATAGATAGATAGATAATCATCAATCATTCATCATCATCAATCAATTTACACAAAAATTAATTTTAATTTTAATTCAAACAGTAACAATAATAATAAGAAAAAGAAGAAAATGGCGTCTCTGTTTAGCAGAGACCGAACTTTGGGTCACTCCAGAAGGGGCTCTTTTTCCTCCTCCTCTTCCACCCCCTCTTCCCTTTCCGCCACCCTCTTCACAATGCCCTCCACCGCCAGCTCCCGTTTTTCCCCTTCCAAGGCCGCCGCCGCCGTCACTTCCTCCGTTTCTTTGTCCCCTCTTCCATCCCCATTCGGCGACCTCACTCCAACTCTCTCCGCCACCGACCTCCGGGAAACCGCCCACGAGATCTTCCTTGCTACTTGCCGTACCGCCACCGGGAAGCCTCTGGCGTTCAATTCCGGCAATGGGAGCTCGAGTAATGGGACCAGCGTCCATCCCAATTCGACTTCCTCGCCGTCGAATCCCAATTCGCCGTCGCTGCAGAGATCGTTGACGTCGACGGCTGCTTCGAAGATGAAGAAGGCATTGGGGTTGAGATCTAGTTCCAGCGTGAAAAAAGCTGAGGGCAGCCCCAGTCCCGGTTCCGGCGGGAAAGGGAAGAAGCCGGTGACTCTTGGGGAGTTGATGAGGATTCAGATGAGGGTTTCCGATGCTTTTGATTCCAGGGTTCGGAGGGGTTTGCTTAGAATGTCTGCTGGCCAGGTCTGCTTTCAGTCAACCCACAGTAAAAACTGTTGTTGCATTTATGTTCATTTCACCCCATTTCGTATTAATTAATGGAGTTTGAAAAGTTGCATTTTTTGGGGGATTTGTTTTCACGTAATGAGTAGAGCAATGTTTCTCATTTTTCCAATTACTGATCAGTTTTTTTTCTTTCTTTTTTCTCTCTTGGGGGTTTAATTATGAAGGACATTGCTGTATCATGACGGGGGATGGGGTTCTTTTTGTGAGATCGGAATACAATTGTATGGAATTTTTGCAGAAATGTGCTGAATTAAAGCTTATATCTTGTGTCGGTTCTTCTTATGTTTAGCTAAGAAATGGTTTGTAAAATGATGATGCCTTTTTCAGTGTTTGTACTGTCTGATCCCTTATTGGGTGAGATCTTTGGATGGAATACCGGATTTGAATTTGTACTTGCGGAAAAGATTCCTCTGAAACCACCCAAAAGTTTCAGCCTTGAATGTAGACTTTCGGTTTAACACTGCATGTATATGTAAAAAGTGTGAAAATGGGCCGAGTGATTCATAGTAGCTTTAAGTTGATAGGAGGACAACTTCTTTTTGTTTTGATTCATTTCACCTTGTTTTGGTTTTACTATCGTATGTCAAACTTTGGCATTTATTGTCCTTTTCCGTATGACTCTTGCATTTGATTTTCTTCCTATTCTGCTGTCATAAGTTTTGTGTTGAATATTATTTTGTCTCGAATGTTGATGACACATTTCACCTGTTTGTGGCTGATTTTATTTATTCAAATGTCCAAAAGCTAATTTTATATCTTTCTTCTTTCCCTTTGGAAATAACCTTGAGAACTGCCATGGCGAAGTTTTCCTCCTTTTCCCAAGTTTTTGTGCCCAAACTAAAGCTAAACATGTGGGTTTCTAATGCTCTCTACGTCTATGAACTGACTTGTATAGTTTTGAACTTTTCTGGCAATAGGTTGGAAGGAGGGTAGAGTCAATGGTTCTTCCGCTAGAGCTATTACAACAATTCAAATCATCAGATTTCACTGATCATGAAGAATATGATGCCTGGCAGAAGAGAAACCTGAGACTTCTTGAGGCTGGTCTGCTTTTACATCCGCACGTGCCAATTGATAAGTCCAATGCAGCTGCACAACGGCTGAGGCAAATTATTCAAGGGGCTTTGGATAAGCCTATTGAAACAGGGAGAAACAATGAGTCAATGCAAGTCTTGCGCAGTGCTGTAATGAATCTAGCTGGCAGATCATCTGATGGACTCCTAGAGTCGTGTCACTGGGCTGATGGTTTTCCATTAAATCTCAGACTCTATGAAGTTCTTCTTGAATCTTGCTTTGATGTTAATGATGAAACATCTATCATTGAGGAAGTTGATGAGGTTATGGACCTTGTAAAGAAAACATGGGGAATCCTTGGACTCAATCAGATGCTTCATAACCTTTGCTTTACGTGGGTATTATTCAACCGATTTGTTGCCACTGGACAAGTTGCTAATGATCTACTATGTGCTGCTGATAGTCAACTCGCTGAAGTTGCAAAAGATGTAAAGACAACCAAAGATCCAGCATATGCTAAGATCTTAAGTTCTACCTTGACTGCCATACTTGGTTGGGCAGAGAAAAGGCTTCTTGCGTATCACGATACATTTGATCATGCTAACATTGATTCCATGCAAAGCATTGTTTCTCTAGGGGTGTCATCGGCTAAAATCTTAGTTGAAGATATTTCTAACGAGTACCGACGTCGCAGAAAGAATGAAGTGGATGTTGTGCGCAGCAGGATTGATACTTATATCAGATCTTCACTTCGCACTGCCTTTGCTCAGGTAAATTTTTTTTCTTCTTGTTTGTTCCTTAGGCCAAAAAAGCTCATGATGGAACCAATGCTTACGTCTTGAGATTCTGAATTTTATCTAGGAAATTAAAGATTTTTTTATTTGCTGAATTGTAGAGAATGGAAAAGGCAGATTCGAGCAGGAGAGCATCAAGGAACCAGCCCAATCCTCTTCCAGTGCTTGCCATCCTCGCAAAAGATGTTGGTGAACTGGCTAATAATGAGAAGGATGTCTTTAGTCCCATCCTAAAGAGATGGCATCCTTTTGCTGCTGGTGTTGCTGTTGCCACTCTCCATTCATGTTATGGAAATGAGCTGAAGCAATTTATCTCAGGCATAACAGAGTTGACTCCGGATGCTGTTCAAGTGCTGAGAGCTGCAGATAAGTTGGAAAAAGATCTTGTCCAGATTGCTGTTGAGGACTCGGTGGATAGTGATGATGGTGGCAAGGCTATTATTCGTGAAATGCCCCCTTATGAATCTGAAGGCATAATAGCCAACTTGGTGAAGGATTGGATTAAAACAAGAGTAGATAGAATTAAGGAATGGGTTGACAGAAATCTGCAGCAAGAGGTACTTGATAATTGTGGCTCATCTTCTATGCTGGATTTCCTTTGTCAATATGGAACTCCTGCTACTTAGTTGTGTTATGCTTGTGAGGCTTAAATCTGTATTTGTGTCCTGTTACTTGGTTACCTTTTAGGGAATCGTGAAAAAAAAATCTCTGGATTAAATAAGCTAAGTATGAGGATTTTTCTGTTGTCATATATAAACTTACCTACTTTCACCAGCTAGCATAATGATGATGAAGCATTCTGAATTGAAGAGATCTATGTTAATTTCGTATTCTTTAGTTGAATCCCCTCCATTTGCTTTATCAGTCTGTATATACTACTTCTGTCCTTTTTCTTTTCTTTTCTTTTCTTTTCTTTTTTTTTTCTCTTTTTACAATATAAGGAAAATATTTATTGCTTACTGCTCCCTAAAGAGTTCAGTGTATGATTCTATTGGCTAAAGTTTGCTTGTTTGTTTTTGCCAAACATATAGGTATGGAATCCGCGTGCTAATCAAGAAGGATATGCACCTTCTGGTGTGGAGGTCTTAAGAATAATTGACGAGACCTTAGATGCATTCTTTCAGTTGCCTATTCCAACACATCCAGCACTCCTTCCTGACTTGATGGTTGGCATTGACAGATGCCTTCAGTATTATGCAAACAAAGCAAAATCTGGCATCGGTAATGATTATAAATCTCCTTGCATGAACTAAGTCCATGTACAAATTGTTACAAACTCTTTATCATTGTTTTCTCCTTGCTGTCTTTATGTAGGATCAAGGAATAAATACATCCCAACCATGCCAGCCTTAACAAGATGTCCAATGGAAAAAAAATTTCAGGGGGTTTTTAAAAAGAAAGAGAAGCCAGTTAACACCCAGAAAAAGAACTCGCAAGCTGCTGTGACAAATGGAAATGATTTGTCTGGGGTACCACAACTTTGTGTCCGTATAAATACATTACAGAGGATCCGAATGGAGTTGGAAACTCTGGAAAAGAGAATCATAACCCTCTTGCGAAACTCAGAATCAGCTAAAGTTGAAGACTTCTCCAATGGTTTAGCGAAAAAATTTGAGCTCACGCCGGTAGTTTGTGTTGAGGTTATACAACAAATTTGTGAGGCAGTGGCATACAAGATTGTCTTTCATGATCTAGGTCATGTTCTATGGGATTATCTGTATGTAGGGGAGCCATCATCATCTCGGATTGAGCCGTTTCTTCAGGAGCTTGAGCAGAATCTTACTGTCATAGCAGACACAATTCATGAAAGGGTTCGCACGCGAATAGTTGCTGACATAATGAGAGCCTCATTTGATGGTTTTCTGTTTGTTCTACTTGCGGGAGGGCCTAACCGAGCCTTTACTAAGCAGGACTCCCAAATAATAGAGGATGATTTCAAGGCCCTTAAAGATCTCTTCTTTGCAAATGGAGATGGATTACCTACTGATGTTATTGATAAGTTTTCCACAACTGTCCGGGACGTCCTTCCCCTCTTCCGAACAGACACAGAAAGCCTCATTGACCGATTCAGACGGCTGACTCTGGAAACATATGGTTCCTCAGCAAAATCTAGATTTAATTTTCCGCTGCCTCAAACCACAGGACAGTGGAATCCCACTGAACCAAACACGCTTTTGCGTGTTTTATGTCATCGGAATGATGAAACTGCTTCTAAGTTCCTCAAGAAGACTTATAATTTACCCAAAAGACTGTAGAGGAAATAAGGGTGAGAATGCTCTTGAGGGGGCTGCCATTCAAGGGGAAATGAGTGATAAGCAGCACATGAAAGTTACTCAAGCTTGTAACTAGTATATCAACCAGGGATGCCTTTTGCCATGCCTGGACCTAGCCTAGTGCAGTTTCAGAGTCCAGAGTGAACGGTATATCTTGTATAGAATCCTTCAAAAGCTTGGTTGTTCATTCGCAGCCTGCTGCTTTCAGGAAAAACATCTTTTCTGGGGGCACCTTTGTTTCGACTGAGAGTGGCCGGATATATGTATGGTATTTATTCGTTTCTATTGCTTGTAGATTATAGGATATAGTATGGTTCTTCTCTTCTCACTACATTTATTATTATTTGTTTGATTGAGATGACTGATCTCTCCATATTCATTTGTTAGTTACCCTCATTGTTTCATTCATTGTCGCTGTAGATATCTGTTGGCTGCCTTAGATATCTGTTGGCTGCCTTACTATCTGAAAGAGTAGCGTTGGTGCTGTCACCATGGTGTTTTGTTCTGTTGAATGTATTAGACCTGTAGACTTATATATGTAAAAGAATACATTCATTTTACTATCTTGGTTTTTGTCTATTCCATGTTGCTTATATATAGAAGTTAAAAGTTGGTAAAGGAGTGGTTTGAGTTAAAGCACAAGTAGGTATTATTAAATGGATCATGACTTCAAGCCAGCTCTTCGTTATAGTATTTGTTAACTACTTGGGGAAGCCAACTCTTCATTCAGTTCGGCTGTTACTACGACCAAGTAAATGATGTATGGATAAAAACCAGTTCTTTCCTGCAACATGATGTTTCTACCTGAATGCTAACATACTCAACTGGATCGTGATTTGTTGAAAGATAGAGAGTTTTTAAAGTGCAATTTGTGTCTGAGTTGGAGTTATCTCAAAGAGAAATCTCTATTTCACTTCAGTTTCACTAACACGTATTGCTGCCAAAGTTTCATGTACTTGAACCATTGATGGCCGTTGGCCTGGATTAAACCTCAGACAGTTCTTTGCTACCTCAAAGCACTTGCGGATTTCATCTTCAAAACCTTGACCCACCAGAGTTTCATCCAATACGAATGCGTGCGAAAAGTGAGCCGGAGAGGTAGCGGGACTAAGATCTAAGATTGAGCTGACTAATTCTCGAGGTTCCTTTCCAGTTATGAGCTCAAGAAGCACAATTCCAAAAGAGTAAACATCGTTCTTGTCAGATTCCAACTCCTCGTTATCACTTCTATAGGCCGATCTAGGCGTCAACTTAATGAACTTTGCTTCCCAGAAGTTTGATATCTTGGGTTCGACATGTTTATCGAGCAAGATGCACTTGGAGCTTACGGCTCCATGAATCACAGTTACATTGCTGCTATCATGCAGCGATGCTAATCCTTCTGCTACCCCAAGAGCAATGTAAAATCTTAACGGCCAGCTTGCCTTGATTTCTCCCTCTTCTTGGCTTGTTGAATGCAGCCAATTGTATAGATTTCCATTTGGCATGTATCTGTAAACCAAATATACGTCATTCTCCCAGAGGCTGAAACCTATTAAAGGAACCAGTCTGCGGTGTTTTAATCTTGCTAGAGTTAAGATCTCAGATTTAATTCGTCGACCAAGATGCTCGCCGTTGAAGAGGCACTTGACAGCAACCAAAAATTGTTCCCGGATTTTAGCCTTGTATGTTGCTCCTGTCTTTCCGATTCCAATCAGGTTATCCTGGCTAAAACTGCCTGTTGCATCAGAAAGTTCCGCAAAAGGCATCCTTGGAACATATTTTTCCATTGCTGTCATCTGTCACAGAAGCATTGTTTAGAGACTCATCAGAATTTCATAATAGCTGAGTGGGAGAATTAAGGGGATAATGCATATGAATCAGATCTTCTTCCTTTTTCCAATTTCTGCATAAAACAGGCCGAAAATTTGAACTGCTTGACTGTACTAAACTGTATGGCAGACAACTAACAAGACAAGATTGAATTGTGTTGAGCCTCTCACGGGGTAAGTGACCAAGAAACAGATTATGTTCATCAAATTCCAGAGAGTATTGAACACCATGAATATGTGCAAAGAAGGCCTAAAAACAAGAAAATGTAGTAGTGATTTTACCATGATATTGTTCATCTCTCCCTGAGTCTGCTGTGGACTTTGTTCATTCATTCGTGCCCTTTTCTTCTTCTTCTTGTACTCAAGATAAAGCTTCTTGACATCGATTTCTGGAACAACAAACCAACAAACCAAGAAAACCAAACTCATAGATGCAGCCCAACCAGTCATGAGGCCGCGGAAGAAATACCGATTAGAGATATGATCGCTGCCCTCCAATGGATTTCCACCAAGTCCCGGATTGTCTCCAAAGTCGACAGTAGCCGGAGTAACCTCATAAAATGCAGGCACTAACCCTGTTAACCTGTTACTAGAGACATTGAAGTATTTGAGGCGTCGCAGTTGGCCCATCTCGACTGGAATCGAACCGCTTAGTTCATTAGCACCGAGGCTTAAGGTATTCAAGTAGCTACATTCAGGAATGGAAGGTGGGATGACCCCAGTGAGTTGATTATTTGAAAGATCAAGATATACAAGATAAGGTAGATGGAAGCAGATATCATGAGGGATTGTGCCAGAGATTTGATTATTCGAAATATCCAGCCTCTGCAAGCTCCTGCAGTTCTTCAGACCCGCTGGAAACTGACCAACCAGTCCCATGTTATTTAAGGATAAACTGATCACCCTGTTCTCCACCATACTCCAGCATTCGATACCGTTAAATAGGCAAATGGATCCTTCGGTTGAGTAGGTGAAATCCCAATTCGACAAGTGGCCGAAAGGATCAAGCAAGGATTCCTTCAGCGATTTCAGGCATGAGATATCAGGACTAATAAGAGGAGCACTGGCAACTTCATTTTTGGCCAAGTACAAGAAGCTCAAAAAAGTGCAATAACTTTGGCAATAGAGATTGCCATTCTACTTAGAAGGATTATTTGCTCAAACAGATAAGGGGCCGGGGGAATTCGGTTTCCTGGTTAGATTTGTGTTCGTTCTATGGAAATCTGGAAGAAGACTTACGTAAAGCCATAAGACGTCAACTCAGTGAGGACCAAGTCTTCGGTTCTCCACGATAGCACTGCTGGTTTTGCGCGTTGGATTGTCTTAGAGAGACCTCGTGACATTGAAATTCTTTTCTTTTAGTTTTTGTTTTGAACGCAAGAGTCCAGCCTGTTAAGCCCAGCTGCCTATTTGGCCGACGGGAAACTGCCCGTCGATGGACTCGATATAGGATCATCGGAATGAGTGAGTTGTGCCTAACTAGCTACTTGGCGGCTCTTTGTTCCACGGTAATGAATGGATAAACTTAGATCTCATGAAAAATATGAGGTTGGGTACCTATAATTTTTCATTATATCCTATCAGTGATTGTAAATATTGGAGAGAACTGGTGTATGCATATATTACTTCCGTTCCGTAATTATTGTTCGATTTGAATATTCATTTTTAGTTCAAATTGTACTAAAAGTGAAATCTCAAATTGGACAATAATATTGGGAGAAAGTGAGCAACTTTGTGTAAGGATGGCTACATTGCAACTGAAAAAGTACTCCTTAACTTTCTAGAAAAATTTATACATTACATCCCGTTGTCCGAAACCACTTTTCTTACAACTCTGAATTTGATTTCTATTTCACGTTCTAAATTTCTATATCCCTAGAGCAAAACCTAGAGAGCATTTGGAGACTAAAGCCTACGTGATCTGAACATAACACATCAAAAGTTACCCGTTAACTTCATTCGGAAAATAAACATGAAATTAGCCAAGATACAGGAAGCGGACACCATACACATTATTACAAGTTGAGGACTGCAACACTATTCCTTAAGAATTGCACGTCCTAGATTAGTACCAAGAGCTAATCTCACAGTATTTAAGGCTTCAGGCGGCAGATCAGCGTCGACAAAGTCTGGCCGCAGCTTCACCATTGACAGTTCTTGTAGTTTGTTCAACATCAAGTTCGTCTGAGAGACATCAAACAAGGGATATTTCGGCCAATTTAACAGTTTCAACTGCATGAAAATAAAGATTAAGGTCAGAGGGAACATCCAGAGAGAATTCTACTTTTGAGTACTTCTCCTTCAGATAGCATCTCTTATATCTTGAAAAGTGCACTTGTGCGGCTACATGTGGATTTCCACTTCACAAAAAGGGTACAACAGCCATAAATGGCAGTTCACATGGTTTCTTCACAATCCCAAATGGCAGTTCACTATGGCCAGTCTGTTGGGAGGAGGACAAATACCCCTCGAACCAGAGCTGAGGAATATACATAATTTTTTGAAAAGAAACTAGCAGGTGTATTTCGTGCACACATTTAGGGAGAGTAATAGGAGCGCCGATGCCCTAGCTAAAGAGGCGGTTATATTTTTTGATGTTCCCCCAGGGTTTATATTTATATATCTCTCTAGAGAAGGATTCTAGGTGTACTATAAGCTGTATTAACTAGACCAGGAACCGTCTGGGGTTTTTTGTTCACCAAAAAAATTAAACAAGTACAATAGCAACACTGCCTACTAAACTGTACACAGTAAGAAAAAGCTCTCACCAATTACGACAGGTAAAACCATAAAACAAGAAATATAAAGAGGCTAACTCACCGCGTCGTAGAGAATAGGCAGCCAAAATCTCTGAGGTGTAGAAGGGTTTTTCATGAGCTGCAAGAAATAATTAAGGAGATCAATCCTCAAAATTGGATGAATTTGAAGTTAGAGAGAAGTAACCTAAATTCAGCAGAAAACAAATACAGACTGAAGAAGGTAAGCACATTTGAACTCAAGATGCACATCATCATCAAATGAGAAGCTCAAACGCCTCCCAGAGATTCTTCAGATATTATATTGTTGCAAGCTCACAACAATAACCAAAAACTAAATACTCAATCTGCACCAAGATTTCATCAAGATTGAATTTCTTCATCGTATCAAAGCCCTTGTTGTCTTGGTCCATTCTAATCGCCAACCACAAGGACAAACCTAGGGCTGGGAGACTATCATTCTTGATTATCATTTTTAGTCAATGTGCACAAACTTATGAGTATTGAACCTGTAAGTGGCATACCAATATAAGGGCTTCTGCAGCCTTCTGAGCAGCATCAGTAGCCACTCCACTATTAACCAGATGCAGAGATCGCCTAAAATCCCTATACCTGTCAGCACCAGAGATCCAAGAATGAACATATAATTCGAAGAACAAATGTCAATTATTGGGGAAATATATTGTCAACAGATGCATACTTGTTCAGAAACTCAAGGCCCCCAGCAGTCCCAGACTCAGATCCCAGTAGTTCGATAAGTCCCTCCCATTGCTGCAAGAAAATCAACCATGAATAAGCAGTGATAGGATAATGGCACCTCAGAGGTTTGTTTCAATGCGAAGAGGGAAAAAATACATCCATTTACAAATTTTAGCTTTCATTGTTAAATGAAACAATCAATTAAACTGTAATATTCACACATTCATCAACCATGGCTAATTTGACTCATTTAAATATCAGATACACAATAAATGACGAAGTTCACAAGCTGAAGTTGCCCATTGTTCACAAAAATGAAGAGCCTGGCACATAAAGCTCCCATATGCACTAACGCCATGGATTCAGGCCAAATCAGGCAATATGCCTATGGTAAATAAAAGATAACTACCTCAGACCCCCCTCAGTAGGCTGCCAGCAATTAGCCACAAACACCAATTACCTCATGTTACAATTTTGATTAGTTTAAAACTTCAAAGTCTGAAAAGATAAAGAGGGAAAAATCTGTTTCCTTTATGCTTCTATAAATTGAGTGGAATATCTGCAACAAAATTTCCGGTCGCTTGGCAATAACAATCAGTATTTCTACATCTTGACTCTTCGACCAAGATGCAATGGCAAATAGATGATAAACACAACAACCAGTGCTGGACTAAAATTGTAGCTAACCTACACCTAAAACTGAACATATAGGTGAAGAAATAACTCACACTTGGAAAATGACAAATACAAATCAAGCCAACAGCATGTTGACCAGAAAGGGCAAAAGAGACAAATTTCAAGTATAAAAACTATTAGTACCCATTGCACCTCACTTGCCGAGGTTTCTCAGACCTGCCATCTTGAGGTTACAATAGCCTTCATCAGATTTCATAATACTGCTGATGAAAGACCTCCAGTGGGTTGGTTTCAGCAAAATATTAATTCAAAACTCCAATATCTAGATATACTGATGATGTCACAGATACATATGATAGAGACTTAGCTGAGAAGATACAGAAAGCTACACCAAACTGCAGAGGATATCAATGAATTTTTTTCTGATTGAATTCTATAATTACTGTACCTTGAAACTCTCATCAGACACCGACTTTCCAACAAAATCAAACAACTGCTTCGCTATCCTGCTTAAACGAACTTCATCTCGAACTTGCTGAAGCCAAAACACTCCTGAACCCTTCTTTCCATGCTTCCAGTCATGTACTCCAGCTATCTGTACAATGAAACAACAAAATAAGAACAACAAAGCCTTTATGCATGACAAAGCAATTTAATAAACCATAAAAGACCACCATACTTCACTCATACTAAAGTTTATTTAAAAAAAATCATGTCATTTATACTCCAAAATGATTGCCCAGTTTTGATTTTCATTTTTAGTACAATTTGTACTCAAAGTGAAATCCCAAACTGGACAATCATTTCGAGATGGAGGGCGTGATAATTTTCCAAACATTGAAAGTCTTCTCCTTATCATTTACTTTGAGCTAATGACCCACTCTACTCATCGTACTGGCACATTCATATATACGCATTCAGAAGTCTTCTCCATATCATTTACTCGTGTATGTCTCATTTTGTTATGAAATTGTGCAAAGCCTATTATTTTCAATGTGCTCGTAATTAATCTAGCAAGTCCATGATTTTCTCAACGTTCGTGTACTACCCTCATTTTGTATTTGTATTACATGTAGTAGGGCTCAACCCTGATTTGTAAAGCATCACTGGTTCTAGAGCTGTTTTATAGCCCTTCCAATTTCAAAATACTTAATATATGGTCGCAAATTGAAAATGACGCACTTCTCCTAGAACTTCTCCTATTTCAACTTGCCAGAACTTAATTTGTAATATCTCCATCAATCCCCACACTTTACAGAAGGATGGATCCTGTATTTAAACCTTTTGGATGCATCTAGCTCATGCACACAAATTTTGACATCTATCCTAGTGCATTAGTCCAAGCATCTAACTTGACATTACCCATTCTCTCGTCTGTGTGACAAATCTATATCGCCCACAGATAAGAACAAAGAACATAAATGCAATTAAAAAACAATAAGAGAGGTTGATTTAGGACGGAAGTGTTTGTATCTTAACATACCTTCATTATCTTCCTACTAACAACATCGAGTTCATATAGGCGGCAAATTTCTATTGTCTGCTCACAAAAAAAAAAAAAAAAGGAAGAAGAAGGAGAGAGAGAGAGTAAAATTGTTATACCAAAAGAAAACAAATTTGGAGGATAATTCACAAAAAAGGTTAAAAAATCACAGGAAAATGGGAGGCCGGTGGAGTTCTTTCCTCCCTTCACTTTTCTTCTTTTTGTGTGTGTGTGTGTGTGTGTTTGGGGGGATAGAATATTGTATGTAGGGGGGATCAAAATTTCCAGAAGAAGCTTGTAATAAGATTCGGTTGATAACCTTTAGAAGCACTTGATTATTTTGAAGTGCTTGCTTGCACAATACAGTCTCCAACAAACCCATGCCTTGAATCATACAGGAAGACAGATATATCGGAGCAATCTGCAAGCATATCGAATTAGGAATAACATTTATGATAAAGAAAGTTAAAAATAAAAATAAAATAAAATAAGTAAAATAAAAACAGGTCTTATCACGGTGGAAATAAACAAAACAGAAGACAATTAAATATTCATAACACCATCACTCACAGACTCATCATATAACTTCACAAGAAATACAATAGATAAAAACATAAGCAAGAAGAACCAGAGCAGAATTGTCGAGCGCTGAAGAAATTCACATCTGAATCAACATAAAATGTAACCATAGAAAACTAATCAAAAAGCAAATTTTGACATTATGTAACTCAAGCCAGATTATATGTTTGCAGCCTTCATGCTACAGTAATACCAGCAAAAGGGATTATGATGAAGTTCTGAAACCACACATGCAAAGTGGATCTAGATAAGTGAGTAGCTGTCTCTGCACCTACTTGCCAAGTCAATGCATGAGAAGATAGGATTTGGGCATAGATGAGTCGGTTCAGCTCTTCAATGCACATTCCACCCAATTTATATCTTGGTTCACTTAAAAGAATTTCAGCTTGAATGTTCCCAACAGTCAACAACTCTGCAGCATGTGCAATCATCCTATAAAAAAGATAAAAATAGTCAGAAGGGCTTAGACATGTCACTTGCTCCATCTCAACTGAATCCATTTTTGCCCTGAATCGTCCTGTTCCTTCATTTCAATCACTGTGAATTTAATGCATGCTGAAATGCCAATGTGGGTTGAAAATGCCTAATTCGAATGCTATTCAATTCAAGGAAAAAATTAAGTATAGAATGAGAATTATTCTACCAAGTGATTACAGTGACCAAAACTGAAATCCCTGACATACTCAAAGCAATATAGGTGAGGGACAAGAGTAGTCTTAACCACCATGGTAAAGTTTCTTAGAACAGTTCAGAATTGATATATGCACATAATCAATAAAGATTTTACAAATTTTGCTAGTATCTGGAACTGAAAGGTTAAAAAGATCCGAATCCATAACAAGTACAACAACTTCTCACAAATGTTTCATAAAGTTAAGAACAATGGTAGATAAGAACCCTGTTCTTGCTTTTTAAGATGAGGAAGCTAATCGTTTACTGGGTAGGCAAAAAGCAATTGCTATGCTGGCCCAACAGAAGGAAGAAGAAAACAATAAAATACAACAGGATAAGTTTTATGGAATAAAAAAGGCTGTGGGAGAAAAAAATAGCTGAATAAATACACCCATAATACTCCTCCTAATGTGAATTGCCATAACAAATCTACAACTTAAAAAGTTAAAAGTGCAAGCATCTCACCAGGGGCCAAATGACCTTGAACACTCTGCGATGATGACCTAAAGCATAGAAGAAACCAACTGAAGTTATACTTCAATGGATGGTTAAATATTAAAATCACATTTTCAAGAAATGTTCATTCCTCACCTCGGGATTCTCTCCAAGTATTCCAATTAACAATCTAATTAATTTATGCTCGTGAACGGGTTTCATTTGCATGCATTTCTGAGCCAGATCGTACATGCTTTCTAAACCCTGCAGAGCAATGAAATTATTGATCTTAACAAACAGAAAACATCAAAGCTCCTGATATTCAGCCAAGAGAGGTGCATGTGCAAGTGTGTCTGAGAAAATTTTTCCTTGCATTTTGTTGAAGTTATAACAAATATATTTACAGGTAACAGTTAAGTATACATCAACAAAAAGTGAGGATTTCATACTGCCATGAAGGGTCTGATGTACAAAAAGTGAGCAACATAGAGTTCAATCCATTGCTGTGTTGCATTGGAGAGACTACTTGAGTTCCCGAGCAGGATTTGAAGTACACTTTTTAGACCACTCCTTGTCTCCTCGTGCTCGCATTGAAGCCAAAATGAACTGCAATCCAGCTTAGTTATTTGTGCTCGCCACTTTTCCCATGCCTAAGAAAGCCAAAGAAATGAACAACCAGCATAAATAGATCCGAAAGAAAAAAGATAATTTTCCTTATTGGTAAGGACATAAAAGTGGTCCACTTACCTTCATAAAATCAGGCTTGCTCTTGTAACATTCACCTAGCTTATCTGCTTTTAGTTCAGGCCGCAGACGTGGCATCTTGGACAGAAGAACAGCAACTGCTTCTACCAGGCCATTCTCAGTCTGTCAATTCAAGAGTACAATTAAACACATTTTTCACTTCATAGGGCATAGATGGTCCAGATCTACTATGCATAAATATTAGTTTCTTCTTCAACAATTAACAAATTTTAGAAAGGTATTAAATCCTTTATTGTAACAAGTAACTCAAAATTATACATCACTTTATTTCGAGCTTATCTTTATAGCTCTCAGGGCCAAATATGAGCTAAAAAATACTTGTAATAACACGTTTAAATAAACCAATGCGAACCAATAATAACACCAAATACTAAACCATACCCAAAAACTAGCACGAAGAAGTGGCTACTTTTCATGCAGAAAAATAGGGTGGGAGGACTGTCAGATTCGGAAGCACATTATGAGCTCTTTGGAAATTCCTGAACATGCAATCTAAACTTGTTTAGCTTACATGTCCTACGACATAATTCACTTCAGTAAAAGCAATTAAACAAACAACACAGGGTGGGCATAATATCTGCCATTAAGAGCAGATAAAAATTCTCAAAATACATGTTCCCTCCAACCATGGCAGGGAATATGACTTGATTCCTCCCATTTGGAAGCTTTTACACAGAATGAGAACTTGTTTCTTATTTGGAAGGTTGGAAGGATCTCCGAAAGATCAATATTGCTTGTTACAGCAAGATGACAATTGACAATGAAATGTCAACATAAAGAAAAACCCAAAGTCATAAAAAGGACGTATACAAGGAGAGAATACCAGTTAAAACGGCCAGGTTTCTTTGACTAAAGTAAACCAAATTACTACAAAACTAACCTCCCTTATCTTAATGATTGGTTTTTATCTAGGAATATAAAATAAAATTTCAGAGAGCACGGAAATTTATATGATGACAGTGACAGAATAAAGCCACAAAAACATTTACTCAATCTTATCATAATAAATTATGAAATTTAAGGTTTATGAATAAAATGCCAATGAATCTTACTTACTTCACGACTCCCAAGCTGATCATAGTGATAAGACCCGTGCAAGCGCAACAATTTCACCTGCAAAGGGAACTTGGATCTAAGGCATCCCAAATGAGGAAATCATAACTAATGGAAACAGATGGGGCCCGGGAAAAAAAAAAGAAAACAGCTGCTGCAACAAATTGATTAGATAGAAACAAACTCATACCACAACTTCTAACCAGCCAATTGCTAACGCTGATGAAATTGCTTCCCAATATTTAGGATGATCTTCAACAGCCTGACATGCACCCAAAAGAAATATAAACAAGAGATTTACTGCATCACACTATAACAGTCCATAAAAAGAATATATCATCTCAAGCATGATAATGCCAAAGTATGCCACAAATTATAATGACTGCAAAAAAAGATAATGCAGGGGATACCCAAAATGTAGGTATTTACAAGATTCCTGAAGGGGAAGAAAATTGGTTAAACCATAAAAAACCTTGTAGCCAGTAATATACAAAGAGCAATCACAGTTGCCTCTAACCATTGGAGAGAGAGAGAGAGAGAGAGAGAGAGAGAGTTAAAAATCAAGGAGTATTACAGCAATCAATGGGATTCATGGGTAAATATCACGAGTCTCCCACCCATGCCCAGGATAGCTGGGGGCAATATCCTAAAACAATTTCAAGGAAGCCAATCCTCAGAAAGATTATAATTAATTATCAAACTGAAATAAAAGATTGCCGCAACGTATCTTACATTGTTTGACTCAGAAGAAAAAGTAAGCACAGCCCAAACAAATGTTTACAAAGATTCAGAAATCTCTTTATATGAATGGTGCTCTCTTTATGGAGACCAAAATTCAACAATTCAACAATTTATGGTGCTCTCTTTATGGGGCATTATTTTCCTTAAATAGAATAACTGAGTACCAGTAGGTTTCACATTTTCAACCCAATCAATCGTGAAAATTTGTAGAGCAACAGTATTTGTTCAAAAGATTCACAAATTTACTACTCCAAAAGAAAAGTGAAAATGGAAAACCTAGCAATCATGCATCACATTGAAAAATTCAAGTAATTGCATGCCTATTCCTGTAATGCCAGAGGAACATTTGGGCACAACCTGTAGAGCAACGAGTTCCTTCTGAAAATCTACGAGTTTTGAGTGCACGGATGATTGAGTTCCAGACAGAAGACAATCATAATCCTGAAAGAAGAGAATTCATTAAAGTACCTTTAATCGGCTTTATACAGAAAAGTATTATGTGGTCAACATTAATAACAATCTCCTTACAGCCAACCAATCTATCAGCCTTTCAGGAATCCAAGCTTGAGATTGCTGGTCAGCATAAAATATGTCCATAAGCTCCCAAGCAGCTTTCAAACAAGTTGGCTTCCTGATATCCTGAACTTAAAGGTACCAATCAAATGAGGAAGGTATGCAGCATAAAGGCAGCTTCCAATGCAGATACGTCCTCAAAACACAATCTTTACCTCCAGAATTTCCTTAGGGTTATCAATAGGTGATTTATAAGACAACTTAGGAGCACCAAGGAGAGACTTTATCTCCGCACTGTACTCCATAATGTGTTGCGACCTGATGAGTTGAAATCTTAATCGTTAATTCCAACAAAAAGATAAGACAGATCACAAGGTCTTTTAAGCACAAGAAGAATCAAACAAATTTTAGACAACACAAGATTACATACTGGGGCGGGGGCATACAAACAACTGTGCTCAACACAAAAACTGGAAAGTTAAGTTGGTTCTATATTTGGAACCAATAACCATAGAGCGTAAACTTGTAAAGCAAAGCTTGCTTTTGCAGTTGAATCAACATTGAAAATGCAACTCTTAATCATGATCAGGAAGAGATTGAAAGGCTTTTATAGCATTTGGAATTGCTCCTCAGAAAAAGCGATGAAAATATTAACATTAGCGCACCGTAATGTCACCTGGTTATTAAGTTTTTGAAAGAGTATTACACAATAATTACTCTCAACAAGACAGAAAAAACTGATGCAGAACCACATTCGACATCAAGTAACTTAGCATGAAAATAAGATAATCAATCTATTTTTTCGACCAAAGTCACACATTGATTGGCCTCCATTTTCAATTCCTTGGGGCTCGTGGGATCAAAAAAATAATATCAGCTATTTCTGCTTTTCATACTATCTCTTTTGCGTTAAAACCCAATACAACATAAACAATCTTCTCATATAAGATATTTGAAGATGGGTTCGTTAACTGCCCCAAGAACAACTTTCCGTTTACTTTCCTTGGACAAAAGATGAGCTTGTTTCGAACTCAAACAGCATCATCAATTAATAAACAAGATGTAAGCATTATAAACCTCAAACAAAGGGATCATGCTCAATTGATCATTCCTTATATTATTAACAAGTTCCAGAGTCAGCAATGGAGATTCAATATAAGTCAAATCGTTCAGAACCGTCAAATTTCGCGCACGGTAAGAGTGTGTTCTTCCTAGTAGGTACTTCAAAGTTCAAAGTTTTAATTCTTACTTACCACATTGAGTTATCAAAAGCTGACATTTTTGACAAAGTTGACGCCGAGTTCTTCCGGCTCTGAAGAAGAGCAAAAGGAGTAACGGAACCATAAGCAATCCTGCGCCACTGAGCATCGTCAATTTCTCCGTCACCGTCGTCCCCTATCTTCACCTCAACCACACTACCTCCAGATTCTTCCTCAGGAACGGCAGAAGGCTGAGGCGGACGGAGAACTGTGACTCGAAGGGTGTTGCCACGTGCCCATGAAATCGACAGCCGAGAAATTGGGGGTTTAAGGCCGTGATGCAGAGGGTAGGTTATGGGTTGAGGATTCGGCGAATATTGGACCAAGGAAGTGTTTCCGTCACCGGAATCCGATGCCATGCCCGGCATATTGGCCGGAGAGATGTTTGAATTCAGATTTCTAGGGTTTAGGAGGGGTTTTTGTGGGGATTTAAATTGTCCGGAATGGTGCGCGCCTAAGTGACTTAACAGCAGCGCAGTCAAAAATAAAATCACTGTCTTTTTTACTTTGACCCTTTTTTAACCTTTACCTTTCTCAAATACTACTTTCATCAATTTGTTTGTAAAACTTAAAGCAGTTTCTCCGAGGATCCCAACTACTATGATTTATTTGTAATGAAATGTTACTCTCTGCAATATGTGGGATTATTAAAGATAGAGTTGTGGAAACAATTGAATAGGAGGTGTTTATATATTTCTCCGTGTGTAGGGTATATATCGAATGTTATTGCGGAGATGAAGATTATGAAAATGCCGTAAAAATATAACTCAGCCCCAATTTAATAATCTAATTTGTTTAATACTCGGTCTCGAAATTGTTGTTGAATTTGAACTTTCATTTTTAAAATAAATGACAATAAAATATTGGGACGGAGGGAGTACGATTCAAATGGATTTGATTTAGGAACATAAATAGTTTGATAATCTTTTGGAGCTTAATCTTTTTTACTTTGAAGGGATCGGCGGATTCTTTCAAACACATGATTTGATCAAGTAACACCTGGGATTCAACTGCAAGACAGCAGCAGAAAACGCCTGTGAACCTGGAACGAAACTTAAATGGAAGATTTGTCACTGTTATCTCTCTCTCTCTGCGGAAGACAAGCTATTCCAGCTGTGTGTGCCTATCAACCGGATTCGAAGTATTGGATCAAAGAGTAATATAAGGACTAAGCCTTGGATTTTATTACACCCCTCCTAGATGAGAAAATGAGATTCCATTTTGCAAAATTCAAGTCAGCAAACGTAAAAATGTGTCCCATCGGTGAAACCATGTGATTGTTCATTGACATTAAGATTTGTGAGATTGTACAAGATTCATCCAGTTCTAGTTACAAGACAGTTTTGAACTAAGTTATGGTTTTAAACCATGGAGGATCTATTTGTGCAATTCAAATCTAATGACCCGAATGAACTTTGACTTGCTAAAGACCACAAATGCCAAGCAAGAAAAGCTTTGCGTTAAACATAAGACACCCCACAGATGGTATTTCTGAGACAGGTGGAATCTATGTAGTACATCATCTCAAGTTTTACTAAGTTGACTTTTCGCAGCCTGGATGAGCTAACTCAAATGTCAAACCCAAACAGGGGAAAGACCTGAAGTGATGAACACTCCTATTTTGCTATTTCGACCCTCAACATCACTCAGGAGGGTCATGAGCCATGTTGTCTTCGAGGGTACATTGCTTATACTGGAGTTGCGTTGTTCACCTTTTTACAAGTATATAATAAGGTTCATGCTAACAAACCACAAATGAAAGAGTACCACTGACATACCTAGTGATTTTGCATTAAGTGAGAGTGTTCCCATGGCTCCTCCAGCCATGATTCGCTGCCTTGTCAGCCTTCTCTTCTTCCTTATGGCGGTCATGGCTGAGGGAAAACCCCTAACCAGCACAAAACCGCCACAATTGTGCCCTGATAGTTGCCCAGAGTATTGTACAGTTGATTGTACCACATGCAAGCCTATTTGCATTGCAAAGCCACCTCCCCCACTACCCAACCAAAAAAAATCACCACCTCCGCCACCGAAAAAACCAAAAAAATCCCCACCTCCACCTCCAAAAGGGCCGAAACGCTCCCCACCTCCACCACCAAAAAAGCCAAAACGCTCTCCACCTCCACCACCAATGCCAAAGCATTTGCCTCCTCCACCATCATCAATTCTGTTTCCGCCACCCTCATCAACACCTCCTCCACCTACACCAACTTCAAACCCCCCTCCTAGTCCCCCACCACTAGTATCAGGGAAAACGGTTTACTGCAAGAACAAGGACCCACTTTTCAGCAATGCTATCGCCAGGAGCAGCGTTGCCCAAGTACTTGTCCAGATACCTGTCAGGTCGATTGTGTCACGTGCAGCCCTGTTTGTGGTAATTTCTCTGTTTATTTCATTCTTACCTACTTGTTTATCATCCCAAACAGAACAGTAACCTTATATGGTATATCATTGTGCTAGCTTTTTACCAATATGGGGTAGTAAAACTCTACAGGGTAAAATGACAATTTTAACCATGCTAACATACATATTTCATCGTAACTAATTTTCAAATCAGGAAAAAACCATGTGAAAGACCTGACATACACACACACACAAAGAAAAAGCTTAATATTCGTTAAACACCCAACTTGACACAATTTCAACTGCTAGCCGAAATGTCCTTCTCTGAAGCATTCCCTACCAACTACACAATCAGACATTAACTGTTATACCCTAGAATGTAGTTCAGCTGTGTATTGATATGCATAGAAGACATACCAAAAAGCCTTACCATACCATGTCTTGTCAGCTACATGGATCAGATATATCATGTATGTTCTGATCGAATAGGTAAAAAGAAAATAAGGAAAAAAAAAAAGAAAAAGAAAAATAAGATAGCAAAAAATCTGGATGCAAAACCCCAATGAGATGAAAGATAATTCGAGATTATTTGATGTAGAACTACCATAACCAAAGAATTTGATAAGACTAGACCCTCCTTAAAGTCTCATGGCACTCTTTCCCAAAAAAAATCATTTACCTTTGATTTCCTCATTTCAAGTTTATATTGTCATGCTAACAGTTTGAATGAATTACTCATCTGCCTAAATCTCTGAAGACTGCAATAGGCCAGGAGCAGTCTGCCAAGATCCTCGATTTGTTGGGGCTGATGGACTTACCTTCTACTTCCATGGCAAAAAGGATAGGGACTTCTGCATAGTTTCTGATTCCAACCTGCACATCAATGCTCACTTCATTGGCAAGAGAAATGGGAACATGACAACAGACTTTACTTGGGTCCAGTCCCTAGGTATTCTCTTTGATAATCATCAAATATACATTGCTGCCCGGAAGGCAGCAACATAGGACAGTGCCGTAGACCACCTGGATCTGGCTTTTGATGGAACACCAATTATGCTAGCTGAAAGTGAAGGAGCCAACTGGAATCCAAGTACTACACCTACTTTCTCCATCACAAGGTTAAGACAACAATTTAGCCATAATTGAAGTGGAAGGGAACTTCCAGATTAAGGCAACTGTGGTGCCCATTACGGAAAAAGAATCCAGGATACACCAGTATGGGATTACAGATGAAGACTGCTTTGCTCATCTTGATATGAGCTTTAAGTTCTATTCATTGAGTGGTGCAGTGAATGGAGTTTTAGGTCAGACATATGCCAATAATTATGTTAGTAGAGTCAAGATGGGAGTAAACATGCCAGTTTTGGGAGGAAATAAGGAATTTGCTTCTTCAAACATATTTTCAACAGACTGTGCTGTCGCCAGATTCATGGGAACTTCTTCAGCGTCTGCAGATAACTTTGAATACGAGAACTTGAACTGTGCAAGCAGGCTTGATGGCAGTGGAGTGGTGTGCAAGAAATAATCTTACTCATCATTATTTGCTAATATATTTACGTAGTAACACTGTCATATTATGTTTTGAGAAAATGAATAAAGAAAAATTTTGAAGTTAGTATATTGTCTAGCCAAATTGGCTTTATTCATAGAAATAAAAGCATACAATCTTATTCAAAATAAGAATTTTATTTCTCAGAAACATATATAAAGAAGCAATATTTAGCTTAAGCTTTTATTGATTTATCTTTCTTAACACAAAATTAAATCAACTGTACTACTGATGCAAACTCAGATACACTCATTTCAACCAAATTTTAACAGCAAATGTCCAGATCTGTGGAAGCATCTAAGATGAGAGTGATGTCTATATAACCAAATACGGCCAATGTAAATTGCTGCACAGAGTGAGGGGGAAAACAAAAATTAAATAAAAATATTCGAGGAAGCACACTAATTTGCATTAGGTAACCGGATAACCTTTTGGGACAGCTCATGTATTTTCCCCTCCATGTGCATTTCTACTTTTGGCTAAGTTATTTACGTGCAATGATAAAAGCTCTATACTACAATCTTCTTAAAGCCCAGAAAATCTCAAATAAGTAAACACTGAAGAGATCAAACAATCAGTCGAAACAGAGATGTTTACAACAAGGATATTCATGTTTAACATCAAACAATTAGTCCAAACAAAGATTTTTACAACAAGGATATTCAAGTTTAACATCAGTTAATGCAACTTTAAATGCATTAAGTGATTTTAAAGGAGGCTTACAGCTAAGATAATGCTCCACATGAATAATTCAAAAGCTCAAATTCGAAAGTTTTAGCTAGGTTAGAGTGATCTCAATCCAGAGGGGGCCTAATTTGCAGCACTTGTGTGAATAACACATCACGTAGACTGAGAGATATATTACAGACGACCACGTCATTTCCTTTTGAATTGCTGGCTCCCATTTTTAAATGTACGCAACCATCTCCACAGCCTTTTCTATTGTTTTCTCCTCATTTTCAAACATGAACATCATCCTATCCATGAGAAAAGGAAGTATTTCCCAAAATGAATGACCAAATCGATCAATGAACAAGTAAATTCACAGAAACATCAGATCCTATTCCTGTATATAGTATTTAATTTACAAATCAATAGTCTCTACAAATAGAATTCTCTAATCTATAACGCTGTAAAATGTATAGGCACAACATAGTTTTCTAACCTGCACAAGATTCGCAATGAAGTTGAATCTCAGAACTTGCAGCAAATCTCAGAACCTGCCCAACAAGCTGACTATCCTTTAGTTGAAGAATTCAGAGACTCTTTAACTAGTTCCTCTATCCGTCTCTTTAAAAGCTTATCTTTAACTCCTGCTAGCATATTCCTGTAGAAAGATTCCAGTCGGAGAAGTCTGCCATGATCTGCGGAGTCCAACATGTTCTCCCACTCTTTAGCAATATCAAAACCAGTAGATCTCTGCAGAGATGGTAGAATATCCTGCTCGGTAAAAGGCTTCCCAAAGATTGAGCCATGAAGAATGCTTGCGTATCTTTCCATTGCGGAAAGCTTTGAGTTTAAGAGCTTTATCTCCTCCATTGCACTCGACAATCTTTTTTCTATCTCTGCATCTGTTTTAGGGTTTTTTGAATCATCTTTTGTTGCTTCCCTGACATTTGGTGATATTTCTTCTTTAAAGTCTTCCAAAAGTGGAGGCCACAACACAAGGGTAGGGGCAAAATGGAAATCTGTTTCACCATTTCCAAGAACCCCACTTCTTCCCCTGCCCCAGGACCAGAGCTTGTAACCTTTGTCTCCAACAAGAACCGTGTGGGCGGCACCACAAGCAACTTGAACAGGTTCAGGGAACTTAGGACCATAGAGGCCATTACACAAAATCAACAAAGGAGAAAGGGCATCTCCAGGATCAGTTCCAGGGAAACTCGCATCGGGGCATAGACCAAGCCCCTTCTCCATTCCCCAAGACCACACATCTCCTGCTGATGACGTAACGCTGGTATGGAATAAGCCACAATCAACAGAAATGAGAAACGTGTTTTCTGGCAGTGCTTTAACAGGGTCGGGGGAAAGGAGACTTTGGGTAGTTCCATGACCAAGTTGCCCATTGTCCCCAAGGCCAAATGTCCAGCAAATACTCTCTAATGTATCACTAGGTCTCTTTTTGGTAGTTAGCACTGCTGTGTGGAAAGCTCCACATGCCACCTCATAGACTTCCCACGATGATTCCAAATCAAATCTTCGAATGACTTCGGGAACCAACCTGCTCTCCCTATCTCCCAAGCCTAACTGCCCATGGTTATTTGAACCCCAAGCATAACATAAAAGGTCACTACCACTGTATGTTTCTTCAGCACTAGCCAAAGCGACAACATGTTCATTCCCACATGCAACTTTAACAACAGTGTGGCCATGCAAATTCCAAACTGGAATTGGGGAAAAACAACTAACAAGGGTGAATTCTCCTTCAGCTGGCCTACTTTGTTGAGGATGGGGACAGTTCCCCCACATCCAGAGACCACCAAGATCATCAATTGCAAGAGACATCATCCCTCCAGCTTTAATCGAAGAGACCTACGGAAGAACCAAAATCGAGGCATCTACCAAGTCAAAAGTCAAAACACAAAGAGCTGACAATATCTTACCCCAAATATCAGACAATGTACTAGTACCTTTAATGGTGCCTTAGATCCTGAATCATCAAGTGCAGAATTCGGCGACCCTAAGTCGAGGAATTCCTTCACCAAACATGGGGATAAAGAGTTCTCTTCGTTGTTACCAATTTGACCATCCAGGTGTTAGTCAAGGACATGCATTTTTCACCAGCCAAAAAAAAAAAACAACTTTGCAACAAACAAAAGGATAGAATATGTAACATTGGCATCAAAATTTGATCACAGACATTAAAAGAACTGGCAAATAAGCAAACAACTACTAGTTTAAGGATACAGACATTATAACCCCAGCCCCAGACTGATCCATCATCTGTCACCAATTCAACCATTAAATTTAATCCACTAAATGATTGATTTCAGTGTGGGAGTATTAGAAAGTTTAAATCAGAGCTTCTTATGATGTCAGATTAATTTGTCAGGAGTAAATTGTAACCTGTGAGAGCAAGACTGTGATAAGCTCCAGCAGCAATCCCGACGATTTTAAGGTTTCTTTGGTGGAAGAAATTGAGTTTCACAGGGAACAGCTGGTCATCATCGGAACCAATACCCAGTCTGCCAAAAGTACCTCTGCCCCACGAGAACACACTTCCATCCCCTGTAAATTTTGAATTGCAAGATTAACACATACTTTACCCATTAAGATCATCAGTTCGTCAAAATTGAGCTGCTATGTCATTTGAATTAAACAAATGGTTGATAAAAATTCAGACTTTTTTGGATCCCCATTTGGGATTACCTGCGAGAACAAGATTGTGAGCTTCACCAGCAGCAATAGCTACGACTTTTTGAGCCATATTTCGAGATTCTGCAGAGGAAGTTGTGGGTTCCTCCATTTTATTGGTTTTATACTAAAGCAAGAATCAAAAGAAAAGAGTAAATTAACGTCAAAAAGGTGGGAAAAAGGTGGGATTGCGTGAAGAATGCGGACGGTGGATTCTCGGATAGATATATATATATCCTGGGGGGATGGAATGGAAGTGTCCTGGAGTTATCTTCTTTTTTCTTTTTCGCTCTTAATTTATTACTAGTATTTTATATTCTTTTAATTAAAATCATTATTACTACTGCCAGAAATCATAATGTGTAAAGAAAAAATTACTATAAATTTTGGTTCCATTTTTCCTAAGTAGTAGAGCTAAGTTAAATATTTTACAAATTATTTTGTGAAAAATCCTTGTTCCGCTACTAAATTCAAGTGAATATAATAACTTTTGTAACTCATTGAGTCAGTACTCAAAAATATTAACTTCAAGGATAATGGTTCGTCTGTTTCCTACTAACTTTTCAAGTTTTTGATTTCTGTATTTGATTAATATTTACCAATCATTTTAACAACATTGTAAAATGGTAAACACCCTGCAGTAAAATATTAAAAGGGAAAAAAAAAACAAAAAAAAACAACTTCTGTGATCCGATCAACGAATTAGCCCAAAAATAAAAAGGGGAATATGCATCAAATGTTGAACACCACAAAACCGTAGACCAATGGATTGATTTAGTGCTAAATTAATTAATAATCGAGAGATAAGGCAAAGGATATTAATTAATCGATAATGAAGTAAAATCATGTTCGAAAATCTTAACACGTAATGCAGTATACTACATTAATATCGTGGTTTCGCATGACTTTATTATAATCAAATTTGTTACGGTTTATAGAGACAAACCATTTGAAGCCACGTATATATTTCCAATCTTTTCAAACTTCATATCCCTTTGGTTTTTTCTGTGTAGTCAAGTCATAAACATTTGATTAGTCACCTTTTAGTCAAACCAAACTTAATAGATATTCTCTTAATCAAAATGATTATTTATTCTAAGAAAATCGCGAGAAGTGCACCATGTTATTCATCTTCTTTCACGATCACAAGCGGCTGGTTTTAGCGGCTTTTTTTTTTTCGGAGGTAAGTTATTTGATTAGGAAGAGAATGTAAATAAGAAATTTGATCGGGAGAAAAAGTGAAAAATTGTGACGTCGGGTTCAGTAAATCGATGAAAACGTCGACGACAAAACAAAGAAGAATTTAAAAGCTTGAATTTTGAAGTCGTTATTCTCAAAAAACCCGGAAAAAAAAATGAAGAGATTAACATTCCGTCGACTATATCGTCGAGATAATAAGCTTGACGAGCAAGTCGACGGCCAGTCTCCACATTATTCACCTTCTTTCACGATCATAAGCAGCTTGTTTTAGGAGTTTTTTTTTTTTGAGGTAAGTTATATACTCCTTTTTTCTCAATAAAAAATAAAAAGATCACATTAAATTTTTTAAAATTATGTTGTTTTTTTAATATAAATTTTGAACCCAATTTATATCAGTTTCGAAACCAAAGAAATAATTAATTACTCCAGAAATCTTTTTAAAAAGATTTATTAGATTCATTTTAAACTATAGATTCAAAACGTTTTCATGAATAAAGATGCAATTTTTTTTAACCCTGTCTTTCCCACAGGATTTCAAACTAAAATTTAGCGATCAGTCAATTTAAATGTGCCCCGCACACTTGAATGAAAATGAAACCCTCGCGATAAATCAATTATAAACAAAATTTAACTCCTAAGTTAGCAAATCATCTATTCCTACTGAAGTGAGACATTTTGAACCACATCTTGAAAAACCCGTAAAACCAAAAAAAAAAAACACACACACACACAAAAAAGTGAGAGATTAATACCCTGTCGACTATTTCATCGAGATATATACCTCAACAACCAAGTCGACGGTTTCCAAAATTTTACTTCTTCTTTTTTGTTTTTCCTGAAGCCGACGAATTCAGTATCCATAGTCTTGTAGTATTATTACGGTTATTATTTCATTGCATTAAAATTTAGTAATTAATAAATTTCTTTTTGATACATAATCCCATATTTGTTAGTTGTTAGCATTAAAAAGACAACGTAATTGTCGATTCTCTTATACATAACACTTAGTACAATAAATTACAAATCCAATATTTCATGACAGTTGTTTATTTTGAATTCGATATAGAACACTCAACTTTCTACGTGCAAGGCGATTATGATAATTTGATTGAAAAGTATATGCAAAACGAATTCATTATTATTATTTTTTTTTGTCTCTATAAATTGTCGGTTTCACGGTTTTCATCTTCTATGCAAAACTGGCAAAGGAGTCAGCTATACATAAATGACTAAACCCTAAATGCAATCTCAAATTTTGTTTTTGAAAAAAGATCAAAATATTGAAATTTACTTTACAGAATTTGTCGGCGCCGAATTTGTCGTCTTCTACTTAAATTTTATTTACGTCAAATAAACAAAACATAACAGTTATAGTGAATGCACTAAAACATAACAGTTGAGAAAGTAAAAAATGTAAATAAGAAATTCGATTAAAAAGAAAACAACAAGAAAAAGTAAAAATTTATGACGTCAACTTTGACGTCGTGTTCAGTACATCGATAACAAGGTAGACGAAAATACAAGGAAGAATTTTGAAGCTTAATTTTAAAGTCGTTATTTTGAACCGCACCTTCAAAAAACCCGAAAAAACAAATGAAGAGATTAAACATTCCGTCGTTTATATCGTCGAGATAAGAAACTTGACGAACAAGTCGACGGTCAGTCTCCATTTAAAAGTGCACCACATTATTCATCTTCATTCACGATTATAAGCAGCTGGTTTTAGGGGGCTTTTTTTTCGTGGTAAGTTATAAACTCTTTTTTTCTCAAAAAAAAAAAAAAAAAAAAGACTACATTAAATTTTTGAGCATAAATTTCTAACAGTAATTTATATTATTTTTGAATTGGAGAAAATAATTAATTACTATAGAAATCCTTTTAAAAAGACTTATTATATTCATTTTAAACTGTAGATTCAAAACGTTTTCGTGTCATGAATAAAGATGCAATTTTGTTTTAAGCATATCTTTCTTACAGGATTCTTAACCAAAATTTAGCGATCAGTCAATTTAAATGTGCCCAGTACACTTGAATAAAAATGAAACCATCACAATAATTAATTGTAAACAAAAGTCAACTCTTATAAGTTAGCAAATCATCTATTCCTACTGGAGTCAACCATTTTGAACCACATCTTGAAAAACCCGTAAAACAAAAAAAAAAAAAAAAAAACAAACAAACAAAACAAAAAAAAAAAAAACACACACACACACACGCAAAAAAAGAGAGAGATTAATACCGGGTCGACTATTTAGTCGAGATATATACGACGACAACCAAGTTGACGATTTCAAAAATTTTACTTCTTCTTTTTGTTTTTTCCTGATTGACCTCGGTTATTATTTCATGGCATTAAAATTTAGTAATTAATAAATTTTATTTTGATATATAATCCCGTAGTTGTTAGATGTTAGCATTAAAAAGACAGCATAATTGTCGATTCTCTTATACGTAACACTTTAGTACAATGAATTACAAATCTAATATTTCATGATGGTGTTGATTGCGAATTTGATATGAAAACACTCAACTTTCTAAAAGCAAGGCGATTATGATAATTTGATTGAAAAGTATACGCAAAACGAACTCATTAATTTTATTTATTTATTTATTTTGTCTCTAGAATTAATTGTCAAGTTCAACGTTTTCATCTTCTATGTAAGATTGACAAAGGATTCAGCTTTACATAAATGCCTAAACCCTAAATGCAATCTCAAAATTTGTTAAAAAAAATCAAAATATTGGAATTTACTTTTCAGAAATTGTCAGACGTCGAATTTGTTGTCTTCTACTTGAAATGTTTTACACCAAATAAACGAAACATAACAGTCATAATTATGATTAATGAGTGTACTAATTATAATGGTTGAGAAAGTTAAAATTGTAAATAATATAAATTTGAATAGGAAAAAGAAAACAACTAGAAAAGTAAAAAATTAAGACGTCGACTTTGAGGTCGGGAACAGTTAATCGACGAAAAGGTCGACGAAAAAACAAAGAAGAATGTGGAAACTTGAATACTAAAGTCGTTATTTGAACAGCGTCTTCGAAAACCAAAAAAAAAAAAAATGAAACAAAGAAGAGATTAAAATTCCATCGACTTTGTCGTCGAGATAAGAAATTGACGAACAAGTCGAGTGCTTCTAAATCTTTACTTTTCCTTTTTGTTTTATCTGAGTTAGCAAGCGACTAAATGAGTTAAGTTTCCTAACACCGCACTGTATCTGATCATCCATGCCGGTTAAACAATCAGCAGCAATACTAGTTGTTTTGATTTCATTTTTTGCATGTATTTACAAATTATTCCCTTAACCTAATAATTTCATCCAACGATACCGTATAAGCAACTGTAGCCTAGATCAACGAAAACAAAGATATTTTTTTAATCAAGTACAAATAAAAGATAGTACTATTACGTATTTAATCATCTGCAACGGGGTTGATCCTGATCAACCATGTCATCCTCCTCACTAATGTAAGCAGACAAATTCAAGTACTTGTCTTGCTCCGCTGCCGGATTCCGCCACCGCGCCCGGCACAGCACACAACTCGCCGACCTCCTCCTGCTGCTCTTCTTCCAAGCCATCAAGCACTCATGGTGTATCGGATTCCGGCAAGTCCCACAAGCAACAATCTTCTCCCCTAATTTCCCCATTTCCTCCAGACAAACCGGACAAGTAGCCCCCTCTCCCACCTCCACTTCTCCGGCCGACCCGCCGGGCCGCCCTTCCCGGAAGAACAACTGATGGAACATCTCACGCACGTTGGATCCGGCGAGCGTATCCGCCGACGCCGGCAAGGAAAGGAGGCGGTTGAGCTGGCACGGCCGTAAAGTCCGCCGCCAGAGGCAGGAATCGTCGAGGGGAACGCCGAGGACGCGGATGAAGACGAAGAGGATATGTTTACAGGGCTTTGTCCGGTCAGGGCATGTGCACGACGGAGTGGAAGATAAGTTGACGGCGTATACGTTTCCGGTGGCGCCCAAGACGAAGAAAGTGGAGTCGCACCGGTGGAGCAACCGGATGCGGTGGCGGAGTGCTCGGATTACCCTCTCCGCTAACGGTTGCGTCGGTTCGAATTCCATCACTTTTTATTTCTAATAATACCTTGTAAAATGGTTTTTTCAGTAACAAGATTATTTGGAGGAGGGAAATGTGATTATATATATACGCTATATTGTGGTTGGCGGGATAATATACTTTGGACAATTTTGAGGGACACGTGAGGGATTGGGTGAAGGTTTTCTTTGAATCCTTAATTACAAACTTGACTTGCTCATCTTCTTCTTCTTACAATATGATTGATGGTTGTCCTTAAGGCACGTCATTTCCGGCTATCATCAACTTGTTCATGTTTTCTTCCCTTATAGGTTGGCTTCCTTCCTATGGCAGCAACCGTCGGAGACGGCGGTACCTCGTTGAGCCGGCTGGGCGGGGCGATCGCGATGTACCTGAGGACTATTTAATTAGCTTGACTTTAATTATAGTTTAATCGGGAAATAAAGTATATCCATACACGTTTGGTTGATTATTAGTTATAAGGGTTTTTCCAAATTATCAACAGTTTGACATATAAAAACTTTATACATGTGTTATTTAAATGTTATTTGAGAAGCAAATACTTCCTCTATCTCAGAAAAGTAAAGCACACTGAATATTGAGATTTATACTAAAAATAAGTGTGTGAAAGTAGTGTAACTTATTAAAAAAATTATCTATCGAAACAAGTAAGAAATTATTATGTTTTATTATGTCAAATCATGGAAAGTTACTTGGAGTAAAGCCACCCTATGATATTTGAGTGCGATTTCACATTGCTTTAGTTGCTAAGTTCCCCATTTGATGGCAGTAATAAAGGGTATTCTGTTTCATTATTATAGTCGTGGCAATGTGAAAAGTTAAGAATTGCAATTTTTTCACCATTACAAACGTAAAAAAATGTATTTTAGATTTAGAAGGAAAAGAAAAGAAAATAAAAATAAAAAGAAAAACACACTTGTTTACTATGTACGTGTTTCATTGTACTAATTAAACACCAACTAACAAACAAACAACTACGAGAAAGATTTTCATCCAACAAAAGGGTAGCACAGACTACACAATTAAGAGATTCCTCTGATTCTCTGATCGTAATGGATGGATCATACCATCACCAATCCGTGAAGGCAGTTGGAGTGTGAAAAATCATTTATCCACATGGAATGATGCTACAAATTAAAGTCATAGAACTCAATGTCCTCTCCCCTTTACAAGCGGAGGCAATGACATGTTTCTTAGCACTGCAAGATACACTAAGTCTTGGTTTAAACAGAGTTTAAGTATATACCGATTGCGAAATTCTGACAGCGGATCATCCAACTAATCTAGTTCTCACCGAGGCACAGGAAATTATCATCTCGCTTCGGTCTACTAGTTTAACTTTTAAATCATACTCACTGATTAAAGTGAGCAGACAAGATGTTGTTGAATTATATAATTTAGCGTTTGTTAGAATGCGTTGTAATAGAATAGGTACACGATTTTCACTAATATACAGGTACTATTCTAAAAAAGAAAAAAAAAAGAAAAAAAAACACCAACTAACAAATGTTGTAGTCAGTTCTGAATGTCACTATCACATCAAAATTATTTAAAGAAGTGTAACTATTAATTAACTAGAATAACTAGAAATAAGCTTTTCACATGTTTATATCGTTTGATAAGTATATGTATTGGCAGCCAAAAAGATTAGGTTTGGACAAAGTTTAGTACATGTTATTTTTTTTTCCCCCATAAGAAATGTTAAAGTTGAACTTTAAAGTTTAAGAAAGAAAAGGAAATACGAAATTGGATAATTATTTTTATACATGTTTTTCCTTCTCCATTTGGGCCGTTTTAGGTGACGACTATAATTTATTGGGCTAAACTTGGTAAATGCATTGTCTAATGCATTATCATCAAAGTGAAAGCCCAATCCTGAACAAATCGATGACGTAAGCTCTAGTTCCGTAATGAGTTTCTATGACACGATTTTATCCGTCTCTGCCTCTCCGGAGTCTGGACTTTTAAATTAAATGCAGAACTGAAACTCTTTTTTGATGCTTACACTGGTTGAAAAGGCTTCCAAAAACCCATGTTTAATTCTTCAACAAAAGTTTATCAGCCTTCCAAAAAGGTATTCAAAGAAGGACCCGTTTCATCCATTTTATCTATGTTACCCTGTTTTATTTGAGTTTGTCTTTATCTTGAATTTGATTTTGGGATATACTTCACTTTGATGAATTCAGCAGAAAGAGGAGAAACAATGGCTGAGAGTGAGTTTCAAACCAGAGAACTTCATTCCAGGGCTCATCATCGGCTTCATTTGTGGTTTGCTGTTGGATTTATCAAAGCCCATTATAGCTTCCAGCAGTGCTGCTGCCAATAAAAAGAGCAATTTGTTGCCAAGCAAGAATCAGAAACAGCCAAGATTGTCTCCGGATGACACCGATGAAGAGTTGAAAATGGTAACTGCCCTCTTAAAATTTTTTATTTATTATTGATTGTGGAGCTTCCAATTTGGTCTATTGTATTCACCTCAGTGAATAAGTTTACTGGTTTTTGTCTTCTTGGCTACACTTGAACTGTTAGAATTGTGGGATTCTGAGGATTTTGTATAATTTTCATTGCAGATGATTATTCTTGATGTAATTAGTGTGAAATTCTGTTGAATAGGATAGTTCAAATGGACCAAGATGGTTTTGAAGCTGCCAATTTATACCGAGTCGGAATTGATTAAATGAAAAGTGTTCAATTGTTTCTTATCAATTGAAATGGTCAAACTTAAAGATCAATGGAGGAATTCTGGTTCTTTATCGTATTTGAAATTGGTTGCTTCCTTTTAGAATTTAGCTCATTAGTTTCAAGTGGAGAGATTCACGAATTTTTTTAGCAATTTGTAGATTGAAACTTTTCTAGAATCTGAAGATCACCGTTTCTTGTCGAGCTCTTAAGTGTAAGAAAGGCTGTGGGTATTTATTATGTTTGCACCTTGTTGACCACTTCTCTCGTTTGTGATTGATCTCTATCTGTTGCTACTAAGTTATTCACACACGTTAAGTCACTTTATTGTACGTCATGTGTTTCAAGGAGAATTTGAGCTTATGATTCCAGGTTTTCTAATTCGTGAGATGATGGCTTGAATTTGGCAGGTTTTGGTTGTTAGACAAGACCTGAAGATGGGGCAAGGAAAGATTGCATCTCAATGTGCTCGTAAGTTTTGTTTTTCCTTTTTTTTTTCTTCAATTTTTTTTGGTGATTATCAACATTTGTAATCTTAATATTTCATGCCTGGAGGAGAGTAATCTTAATATTTCACCTTTAATGGGTTAATGAGCTTCTTGCTTTGTTATAAACCTGCAGATGCTGCAACTGGCATGTATTCAGAACTTGTGCAAAGGTATTTTTGTCATGACCATGTTCTAGTATTTGGATATGTGTTAATGAGACCAAAAACAGTTTGCACACTAAGAACCTGTTTCTATACATGAATTTAGACTTCTATAGATACCTCGGAGATTTGAGGTACAATATTTGCTATATGGACCAAGCTACATAACTGATTCGGCGAATGCTCTAACCTCATTTCACATTGAGTTTTAAATACGAAAAGAGTTGTATAGCTAGATTTTAGACTCTCGATCCATTTGCATTTAGTTGTCTTCTGTATATTTTGACAAGAAGGAAATCACTACCCTATTCAGTCACCGCTCCCTTTTGAGGAAATGGGAACTCTGTGGGCAAGCCAAAATTGTTGTTACATGCAAGAATCAGCAAGAAATGTAAGCTGTGATCTCTCTCTTTTTTTTTTCTTTTTTTTTTTTTATTTCTTTTATCTGTACTTTGAATTATCATATAGAAATCCATCATCCAGGAGCCTTGACACGGACGTATAAGATTGATAAGAGTTACAATGTTGGCATTGTTTTAGGAATAAGCTTAAGGAAGCAGCAGAGGACATAGGTCTTCCAACTTTTGTTGTTGCTGATGCTGGACGTACGCAGGTCTGTACTTTTTAGAGTATTGTGGAACTCTTAATGGTGACACTGATTAGATGTAGGTTGTGTTATTGAATGCATTTCTCTTCATCATTTTTGCTTCGTTATGTCCACATCATTGTGCATATGTATCTGCCATTTTGCTTGACTCAAGTTTGGAGATGTTACAACAGTGAAATGTAGACCTTCTCTCCAAAGTGCATGTGAATCCTTCAATTAAGTAGTAGTCATGTGGTAGACCAAAAGTTTTGGATGCAACCTTCTTGACTAATTAGTGTCAACGAGTAGGGAAGAACTCTTGTTATACCTCTCTTAGCTGATTGAAGGGCTTTTGAAGGATTGGGCACGGTGAAGTTCTTTCTGATTAAGCCGCCATAGAGAAACCATACGACGGATGTATATATTCTCTGGACTGGAGTTTGTGAATGATATCTTCTTGGGATAATACATATACTGCAAGCATTTCTTTCTTGATATGAGTTCTTCGATTACTTTAACATCATCGAAAGTTAATGCTTTTGAGTTTTGTCAGGTTTCATCGGGGTCAAAAACTGTTCTTGCGATTGGACCAGGTATGCTTTTCATCAAAGTTGCCTTATTGGCTAATATTCTGCTATAAGTCTGCCAGGAGTTGATTTTCCAAGTTAATCCCTAGCAATCTTTTCGTGCTTGCAGGAAGCAAATCAGCTGTAGATTCAGTCACAGGGAAACAACGGCTACTATGACAATGATGACAAAGTTTAAGATAGATTTGGGCGATGTATCCGTTGTAATTTGATTTGACTGATTAGAGGCCTCCATTGTGGGCAAAAAGACTCACATTGCTAACGTGCTCTTTTATTCCTCCAGCCTTTCTGCCCTCTAGGTTTTGTAGTTAGCATTGTGTTGGAAAGAACTGGAGTTTCAAGTTAGATTTGTTACTTCAGGAGAATTATGTAGAGATTCTATATTCTTATCTTATGCGTCTTTCTTCTATATCAAACCTTGACACGTACATTGATGTGTATCTAGCTCAACCGCCATTGGCAACGGAGGTTGTATTCTTGTCACTTAAAACGGAATAAACTGTCCATCGTATGACAAATTAGTGCCTCTAAATTTTCCCTAATTGCTACGAAAATGCACACCATAAATGATAACAGAGGAAAAGAGATGGTGAAAAAAAAAGTCTGCTTGAAGGGTAATAACAAATTGTAAAACACTTCAATTGTGTGTCAATTCAAGTTATTAGGTCAATTTCGTTTTATTGTGTCGGTTGTCTCGGTAATTCGTGTCGTCGGGTCGAAAATTGACATCACCAGTTCTATTTCAGTATTTCTTAGGAGGAAATACTATATATTGAAAAAAAAAATGTTCTAACAAAAAAAAAGGACAAGGCCTTCGTCCTAAAACCCTTGAACAGTTAAACCCCCCATTTCCCCCATCGCTCTGAAGTCCGAACTGACAAGTTTTTCCAATGGCGGCAACTCGCTGTCGCACCCTATCAAGGCCAGCATTTTCTCTGTTTAAATCCTCTGTCTCAAAACCATCAGTGAGGCAGTCCCCTCCGCTTTCATCAGCATTCAGCATCCCTAAAACCTGTTCTTCAACCTCCAGTCTCTCAAGGTATTACTCTTCTCGCTTCAATTCTTTCATGATGCTTTGATTGTCACTTTGCTGGTATTGAGTTCTTGGGCGATTTACTCTCCTGAATTTCATAAAGATTTGATTTTTTGAGTGTTGAGTGTTAGGTTGCTGAATTTAATCATCCTGGATTCGATTTTTCAATTTTATTTTTTATTTTTTATTTTCAATGAACAAAAACCTTTTGACCTTTCTGATATTCATTCAAGTGTATTCTCCATTTTGATATGTTAATTCATGAATTCAGATAAAAAAGAGGTTATCTGTGGTTTGAAGCTTTGATTTGTAGACTGCTAGATTGATTAGCTGATTGGGTATGCAATTTTCTGTACATCAAGAGTGCCTATTGTTAGCGTTGTTTCGAATTGCAGGCCGTTGCCCCAACTGGGATCTCTCCAGTCTCTGTTGCCTCTCCACACAGCAATCTCCTCAGCTCGACTCACATCATGCCTGGGGTTGGACTCCAAGGCTAGGTCGTTGTCTCAGGGTATGCTCTGCAGTGCCAATCCAGGAGTTTGATACTATTTTCTAATGTATCTGTAAGCAAACTTTTTTTGACTTGTTTTTTCTGATTAATTTGTCGATATGGTTGTTACATTTAAATTCAGTTCTCAGTGTGTTGCCTCATCTCGCCTGGAATTTCCTGATTAAGAAAGCCTACTTTTTGACGTTCTGCGTATGAATCTATTTTCCGATGAGAGTGAGTGATTATGCTGCTAGAGTTTTGTTTATCCATTGTAAAGCAATAGGGATGACACTAAGGAATGGGAGGAAATTTGCATGACCCTAGAGCATTTTGACTAGTGTAATTTGGACCACGAGAAAAGAACCAAATTTGATGACATTAGTCAACCTTGCAAATGAAATTTTGTGTCCCAACTTATGTGCACCAATTGTCTATTGGTGAAGAAATTCTTTAGTGCAGGATTGACCATGAGATTAGGACCATGAGAAATGAGCCAATCTTGATCGCATAAGTCGAACTTCGCAAATGGGATCCTGTATCCTATTCTATGTGCACCAACAGTCTATTAATGAAACACCATAGGTTTATCAAGATTTGCATGTATTCATTTTAAGTTATGATTCTAATTAATAAAGCTACCTTGTTTGTGTCTCACCAGGACACAACTGGTATATTGAAGTTGAGACAATGAAGTCAAACTCCATTGATAGAACTTTTGGCTGGATCTTTTTATAATGGGGGCTCAATCTCCTTTTTATTTGTTCTTGTTAGAGAGATACTCTTTTTGCTTACCATTAGCTTCAGTTCGAGAAATAGAACAGTATCTTGTGCTCATTTTCTGATTTATAAGTTTGCTTTGACGCTTGCATTATTTTGGTTATCACCTGTTCCTGTCAATTGGTTGAACATAATGAGCCCAATTTTTGATTTATGAGTTTGCTTTGACTTTTGCGTTATTTTGGTTATCACCTGCTCTGCCTATTGATTGTATAAATGAACCTGCATCTGTTGTTTGTTTGTGTGAGCCAAGGCCCCAAAAGCAATCCAACTAGTCAGTCATTTGCTTGCAAGTAGAGCTTAGTAGTATAGCTGTCTACTTCCACTTGTTATCAACAAGTCTAATCTAATTGATGCCTGCGGGCAGAATGTATGCCGATGGTCAGCCTTTTCTCAGGTTCGCTTTATCCCTGGATATCTGATGACTATATTGGTATCGCTGCCTCCGAACTACCTGTAGTACAAGAAGTCTGAGAATTAGGAGAACGCAAAGTGATGGCAATTCTATTGATGTGATAATACATGGTTTACTTGTACATCAACAGACAGTGATTTTGTTGCTTATATCTTTCCCTTTGGCTGTTGGTTTGGGTAAGAGAACTTGGAGTTTGGAGTAGGATGTGGTACTACTTAATAGAAAAATTTAGTCGGCAACTTCTATTTCTTGGGGTCGAAGCAAAGAATGTAGAGGGAGCCAAATGAAGTGAGTATGCCTGTCACCTACTATACTGGACAATTTACACCTAATTGTTTGTCTTTCTCAAATAACATATAGTTGAACAGTGTGGTGATTAACATACTGAAGAGTCTAATAGAATGTTTCCTGCTTCTAGGAGAATCGGTTGAATACCTTTAAAAATTTTCAGACCTTTAAAATTTTGCAGTGTAGATTTACGTATTGAATTTCTCTGCCTTGAAGGTTCTCAGACATGTACCTAGTAAAAGTCTTTCCATTGATTTCTCTAAGTCTAAGTCTAACTGAACTCCTCAAGAATTCTTTCGGACAATGTTGGACATTTGAGAACTTTGCATACTATATTAGGTTTCTCAGAAATTATCAAGGTTATCTGCTGGAAGAATAGTGGACGAATGTGTTGCTAGATATTTGAAGTCCAATCAGCACACCAACTTACTTAAGAAGGCTATTCCCAGTTGTCCTATGGAATGGACTTTGACATTTGCCCGAACACAAGCAAAAAAGATATTTTGATGTGTATGAGCTGCCTCGTTTTGCACTTAAAAGTTCCTTCAAGGTTTTCAAAATGTACATTGCTGGCAAAATTGCTATTTAATAGGGCTATTTATGACTGTTGCTATGACGGTTGCTTCCAATTCCAAGATTCCCAACTCTTCAAAATTTTATATTGAATTGCAGTAACAGAGTTTTCTTTCTCCCTTGTATGTCTTGATAATGTTGGCATCTGGATTCTTTTGAAATGATGTGTGTTCATTCTTTTTAGCTAGGTGTCCTCTAACCCGGTAACCTAGGAAAGAAAGAGGACAGAATTTCTTAGTACCTCATTTGAATTAGGGGTGGTGCATGAGTACAAATCCCATTAGCATGAAGATTCTATCTGTGATACGTAGTAAACATTAATTCCCAGTGGTTGCTTAGTTGATGTATGTGTACATAATAGTTTTGGAAAGGTGGATAATCCAAGAGCAAGGAGAAGAGATTCTGAGGTTCTGTATGGATCGGCATTTCATTTTCCTTTTAGTTCAAAACTACTTTCCATGTTGTACTGGTAAGGTAAAGAGGGAAAAAAAAAAGGTGTACGAGTACTATGGAAATATTAATTTTACAATGAGAAGTGTATGGCAAGATTTAGGTTCAAGTGGAAAATAAAAATATTTTTGGATTTTAAATGCTGGCAGCCAGTAACCTGACCTTCAGTTGCACCTTCAGTTGTTATGATCATCCAGTGTTGCCTTATTTGTGTGACAAATTTCGTGTCTCAGTTCTATGAAGCATAACACAGCCCTGCTAGTACTGTTCGGTATCATAATGGAGTGCTAAACTGCCACCTGCTCAGTTTGTTCAATGAAATGAAGTCGGCATAACAAGTTTCAGGAAAAATATGCTGGGCTGGTTGAAACTAGTGGAGAAGTACTTATATGAATTGAAGCTCTCATTTTGAACTTTAGGCATGTCTGACCTGTTCTCCTAGCTTGGCATGTGATATCTTATGCAGTGCACGAGCGGAAGGCTAAACCATTTTGTCGATATAGTTTAGTTGGGCCTATGCCTGTATTATTTTGCACTTCGTATGGAAATCCAAGGATAAGCGAATGGTTGACCTTTTCTAGTGGTAGATTGACAACTCTATCATCTATGTGCCCCTTGATATTTGTAACGTAAAATTTCCACTGCGAAGTCTTTGGATTGTTAGGTTTCTTGTTTCTTGTTTCTTGTGGTTAATAGGTTTCATGCTTAATTACATGTATCTTGTGGCACTACTCTTGTTGTGGTGGTGCATTAAACAAAAACATTCCTCGGCATCTTCTGGCCTTTATGAAACCATCACTATGACTTTCCAGCCATTTTCCCATAAGTATTGGATTATTTATGCACGAAAAACTTTAGTTTATGAAGTGGTGTTTTGTGTGTGATAGTGTGGCATGATTTCCGATACATTTCATATGGATACAGTCACTGACTTTCTGGTTGTCTCCTCTTCTCCAGAACTAGGTCTCAGTGTTCCTCGATAAGAGACACCAAGCGGAAGACGAAGAAAGGGATTAATTTACGAGAATGGTAATCACTTTGGGAAGAAATCCATTGAAATCTTTTTATCCATTTACTAGGAAACTATCTGTATGATAAGAATACGTTAACGTTTTCAAGTTACCCTACCCTTCTTTATCCTGTATTTTCCTTTCTGATTCTCCTAAAAGCAAATGTGATTCATATGGATCAATTCCTGTAACTGGGGAACAAAGCAAATAAAGTGTTCAATCAAATCTGAAGTCGGTTGCTAGATTTTTGGCAAATGGTCCTTGTGTTTTTCTTGGGGCAGAGCTTATGTAAAACTGTATGCATTGCCTAGCTAGTATGCTACAGCAAATGGTGTGCATAGATGATGAATGGATTATAAAAATGTTTTTTAACACAAAAGAGTGGGCAGAAATTAACAAAGTAGTAGAAGAAGGTAGATTCTTTGGTTGAATTTTTTATTTTTCCAAGGGGGGAATTTTAGGTGGCGTGTATGGGGAACGTGAAGGGCACGTGAGGAAGTGGGAAGGATTGATGATAGTGTATACAATGTCTCCTACCCTCCTTTGAAAGGGGTCCTTTGCCCCTGCAGCTTTGTCTCCCTCTCCCACCCTTTTTAATACTCCCTCCGTTCCATAATTATTGTCCTGTTTGAGTTTTCATTTTTAGTTTAAATTATACTAAATGTAAAAAGTCAAATTGGACAATAATTATGAGACGGAGGGAGTTTTCATTTTTAGTTTAAATTATACCAAATGTGAAAATTCAAATTGGACAATAATTATAAGACGGAGGGAGTAGTTTTTTTTTTTCTTTTCTTTTTTTTTCTGTACCTCTCCCTTTAGCTTGTAATTAAATTCAACCATGCTCATCTACAGTGACCACTGCTAAAGAGAGACCAAGGCAAATTGTCTCCCTTTGTGGTCCTGAAAATGCATTTTCACCGATATTTTGGTATCTTTTTTTTAAGATTAGAGTTGATGAAACTAAGGAGTTAGCCTCCTGCTGGGGAGACTTAATCCTGCGGAACCTGGGGTAAATGGAAGTTTAAACCAAATGTACCTGGTGTTGGTGGACTTTTAGTTTCATTGTTACTGTAAATGCAAGCTTAGAAACATTTTTAACATGAAAAAATGAGGTAAGATCATATAGAGATGTGTCCGTAAGTTCAACTGTAGGTGTCCAAATATCAATTAAGAAAATATATATTCTTTCCATTCTATTTTAATTCTCAGTGTATGGGATTAACTAATCAAACTAAAATTGTCAAATTATAGATGTGCTCGCCGCTTCCTCACGTCCTCCCATGGTTTGTTAAACCCAAATGCAGAAAATAAAACACAGATGACGTTTCACTTTAGCTTTGTTTTGAAGTAGTCACTTTCTTGTAAAAATTATTAAGAAAGAAAAAAAAAAACACACACACACACACACACGGAGCTTAAGGGATTAGTGCGGTGAATGACACGAGACATTTTGGGTCAAAGTATTCATTCAGTGCTCTAACGTGCTGACCCTGTACCTAATCAGATATATCTTTGAGTTTCATTGGATTCATGGGAATTTCACAATTTCTTATGGTTTTTTCAGAATAATATAATAATATCTGTCCCATTTTAACATAATTTTTTATATTTTTAATACACCATTTTACATTCCCAGTACAAAAAATACCTAAAAACACATGTAAAAAAAACAAAACAAACATTCAAAAGGAAAAAAAAAAAAAAGAAAAAAAGAAAAGTAAGCAGACAAGCATTTACAAGTGAACATGGAAATATCCCTCATGCATGGGAGCCCATTTATATAACTTAATTACCAAATACATCTCATCACATATAGATTCCCCCCATATCACAATGTATTGCCAAATTAAAAAAAAAAAATTTAAAAAAATTACAAGTGTAGTGGCAGTAATATTATGTTGAAAGATACTGGTCAAGAGATTATGTAAAATAAAATAAAAATTAAAAAAAACCATCAAACCGTATATTACATATAAACATATATATATGAGTACATGAAATGTAATGATATTCTTCCATTCTAAGATAAGAGTCGGACAAACTTCACTGGACACTAATTACATAGTTCATTGGGGGTTTTTTATATATATTTCTTATAGCAATTTTCCCTTTTCTTTTTAGAGGTGGAGTATTGTTGAAGATATGTTCGTGCATACATCAACAATTAATTGCTACGGAAGCAACTTCTTAATTGATTATTTGTAATGTAGAGATAAGCTAATCATGTAAATGTGTGATGACTCTTGATTATACGCACCCTTCTTCTTCCTTTTCTTTTTTTCTCATTAGAAAAACAGATAAATTAATTTCCTAAGATTTGTACTGGTATTATGATAATGTGAGGAAGTAGGTCTTCCCCATGGATTGCGCAACACACGTGCATGCCATTGAATTGATTCGTTATGATCTTCATGATAACCTTAATTTGCTTAGCTTATATAGCTAATAATTTTTTTATTATTTTTTTATTTTAACTTCATGATCACAAAATGCTAGCGATTGCACTGATGATAACAGGTAAGTATCTCATATCATAACATAATTTATTGATCTAATTGGATACGTGCAGTCTTTAACAGTGACTACTTCAAGTGTGATATGTGTATACTCGAAATATTTCATGATTCTTGTAAAAAAGATTTGATAGTAGAGTACCTATTCGATAGTACTGAAACTCTTGAATCAATTTCCTTTGGCAAAACAATTGGATCATTTCCTTTTCCTCTCAAAACCCTAGAGAGAAAGTTCTTATGAGAAAAATAAAGGATGAAATTAATTAAAGAAATGGGTGATTAGGTGAAGGGGGATGGGGAAAAAAAAAGAAAAAAAAAAGAAGAAGAGTCATGTGAGGACTGCTAAAATCAGCTGCCACACCCAAATTAATTTTGCATATCATGCACCTCTTTGCCTGACACAGTTCTTGCAGCTACCCTTCTAAATTATTTAAATCAATTATATTTATTTAGTTAATTTACATTCAATGACAAAAGGGGGGACAAATAGAGATTAATTAACAAAAGAAGTACTCTCTTAAGCACCTTTGCAGTATAGTAGCATGCTAGTAGTAGCGCATACACACATCTAGTATGTGTCTTCTTTTTTTTTTTGGTTAATAAAAAGATTCTAAAAAGTAAAATATAATTTGGGGTGATCAGAAGAAAAGAATAATATCACAAACAGGGGGCATCAATCAAATAATTAAGAAAGATACTATGTTCAGTCTATGGATCACCAAAACACCTAGGATCGCACATATACGTACAAATTTGTACTCAATTTTTATTAATCTTTTGCATGTGTTTTTCCCTCTATCCCATCTTCCCCAAACACACACACACACACACACACACACCCCCTGTCCTTATGTACGTATATATGTAGATGCAATTAAATGAATAGAACAAATTATTGATCGGTGATATTTACGACGCCCGTTTGATTCTTGTCCGGCCACACTTTTTGCTTGACGAGAAGAACATTTGTAGCAACTTGGTTTTTATTGCTTTTTTTTTTTTAAACCGGTGCTATAGTTTACTAATTTAGTGTAACTATTATGGTAGAATAATGAGTTAATATATTGGAACTTGTAATAGAGGGTAACCTGAAAATAGCCATCAAGAGTGAAAGTATCATTCATTTTAGGCTGTAATTTTGGTTTCATGTGCTCAGGTTGTTCATTTGGATCATTATTATTTGAACAACTTAGGGCAAAAATCCAAACATCAGTGAGGGAAAGCTAGAAAAGTATATGACCGTCCATTCAACATAAACTCAGGCTCAGATCATCTTACGATCGATGGTTTAGAGGATCGATATTTATTTGGAAACAATTGATGAGCTAAAAAAAAGGTTTTCATCTCACGACATATTCCTCCGATTCTAATTATATAACACATATTAATACTAAATTTGGGTTAAATTTGTGTGTTATTATGAAGACTAGAGTCCAAAGGGAGTATATGCATGTGATAGTATACATTTTGGCCAAACTCAATGTAATTAGTCTCAACTAAATTAATTATAGGTTTTCTAATAATATATTTCTTTTATAGATGAAAGTGAATATATTAAAGTTAAAATGTGAGAACCAAAAGGGTTGCAGTTGAGTAATTTTGCTTATCGATCGTGACTCAATATTGGGTATTTGAATCATGTCTTGAACATGAAACAATTTATTCGAAATAGTTACACTTCAACGACAAAATTAATCATTGTTATCAACTGTAAATACCGTACGACACTATAAATGAGTTGAATTATATATTACTGTTACCGATAGCAGATAATTTGGCATATATATATATATAAATATGTATGATAATATGAAAAAAGAAAAAAGAGTTGGGAGATAGGATAATCACATGGAGTGCATGAAAGCAGGCACGTCTAAGGACTGAGCTAAGAAAAAAACTTTAGAATTAAATTTAGAAGTCACTTTCTCGAGGACCAACCCATAGAGAGAGAGAGAGAGAGAGAGAGAGAGAGAGAGAGAGAGAGAGAGAGAGGTGGGTGATGGTGTAATTGATTTCCGTGCGTAAAGATATGCTACCCCAAAACATTACCATCTTAACGGATTTCAGCAGACTAATACTAGTACTCGTATATACTACTATTAGTGTAATAATAATATAAATTGGGTAGCAGAAAACGATGTAAAGAAAGAAAAAAAATCCCCCATGGGATTGCTAGTTTCTAGTAACATTCTCTGTATACATTTGCGTCAATCAATAATCATGGTACTACTACTTCTTCAACGACGTGGTTAAACTTTCACATTCATCCTCTTCCTTCACTGAAATTCATGTTTCCCGGACACCCAAGATATCATAATCAAATACTACGTAATACTACCTCCATTCCAAAAGGTAAGTCTTTTTAGATTTGACACATAAACTAAGGAGACAATCATTCAACAATTATTTTATATGTTAAATATCTTTTTTACCTCTCATTAATTATGTTGGAACTATAAACAAGGCTAAATAAAAATAAATTAACATCATTTATTGAAGGTAAAGTTGGAAAAATAGTCATTAATTTGTCTAGAATTTGTAAAACGACCTACATTTTGAAAAATCTCTCTAAACCTAAAACGACCTACATTTTGAAATGGAGGGAGTATTGTACTACTCTCTATTTTGGGACCTTCTTTAGCCAGCTAATTAATTTTTTTTTTTTTTTTTGTATCCAGTCCTTACAATTTTTATTTTTTATGTTTTTAGTAGTACTAGCTTGTTTTCTCTTCTTTCTGTTGCGGAGGTGAAGATGTAGGACAGGGTTTGACTTTTTGGATTAGTAATAATAGTAGTATTTTATAGCTGGCCTGAAAAATAATTAACAACTCCACCAATCTTTACTAGTGTAGTTTTTATTTAGAGAGGAAAATATTAATTAACAAATATTTTTCTATGTGGAAGTAATAACTCTATATGCGTCAAGTATTTTTATCTTTTGTTTTTATATATATCATTAACCGCAAAGTTACTCTAAATTATATATATGTATTTTTCTAAAATGATAAGGGTTTTTATATCTTCATGCCACTCTTAGTTTTTTTTTTTTTTTTTTTTGGCTAATGAAACGTAGGAGTTTTTTTTAACTTTTGAGCGAATATATACTACATTCAAAAAAAAAAAAAAAATTCTCGATTAGACTTACAATTTCTTTTCACTCAACTGAACCGCATCTACTTTTCAAAAGTGTACTGTATACGTACATGTATATTTTTGAAGGTATTACTGTAGTAGTACATAAATGTTGAAGAAGTAAATAATTATTGACCCAGAGAATTCAATTTTACCGCCTATAAAAAGTCTAACTAAACACCTGTCTAAAATGAACTAAGATGATGGCCAGAATCAGCGGTCGCCGTGACACATTTGCACGTCTCCTACGTACGAAAATTGATTTATTTGATGCAAGCTGAACTAACCTATAAGTAGAGATAGCCGACATGAACACATCGAAGGATCGATCACTGAATATACTTGTCCAAACTCCAGCAGCCAATTCGGGTGTTAGTCTTAGTCTGACCTAATCTCTCTTTTCTTCTCTTTTTGTTGACATAAAAGTAACCGAAAAAAGCTTGCAGTACTACGAAGCCAAATGTTTCAATCAATACCGTAACATAATTTCAACATTATAATCGATACCCATAGTCATATATATTAAACAAGTGTGTCTACATGTATTAAGAATATGACTCGTTTATAATACTATTCCGTCTCAAAAAATAATTCACTTTGTTGAATTAAAATAGTACACTATTCGTCCCTAAATGATTGTCCAGTTTGAATTTTTATTTTTAGTTCAAACTAGATAATAGAGTGACCTATTTTTCTAGAGAATTGAGGGTGCGGTTTGAAAGCAACTTCAATTATTTTCTTTCAAAATCAATGAAACTCCAACAAGAAAATGAACAATCATGCAGCAAGAATATGATGGAATTGAGAATTCTCATTGGTCCAATAATTTCACCAAAAAGTTTTGGGCAGATACACTATAGCTAGACAGACTAAAGCCTATGCTGCTGCTTTCTAGTCTACTCTCTCATCACTCTCTCGACTGCCCTCTTTTTCATCTCAAAAACAACAAAATTAACGTCGTACCAGCTACAAAAATTCATCAAGTTAAAACCAAACATTAATTAACCCCCCTATCAATTAGCTTATAAATTAAAGGGAAATCATTTTTTTTTTGTGAGTTGTTTTTTCTTTCCCTCCATGCCAAATTACCTAACACAAAATGGAAAAAAAAAACTAGCTAGCTAATTAAGCTAGGGACAGCATTGATACTAGATAAGCTGCCGAAAGTCGGGCCCAACGTGTTGATGAATCAAGTAATCATCACCGTTGGATGAGACATCAAACATCATGTTCTGATGATGATGAAGGAATTGCTGATGATGCTGTTGAGCCCTCATCATCTCCTTCTGCCTCCTCAGCTCCAGCACTTTCCGGTGCGAGTTGGAATGCTTCGTCAGCACAAACGTCGGGCTCGCAGCGGGCCGGTATTCGGGCACCAGCCTGCCCGACTTATACCGAACCCCACAAGCGTTGCAAAGCGTCTTCGGGCCCATTGGCCCCGTCCTCCACTGGGGCGTCTTATCCGTCGCGCAATGCAGGCATTTCCTCCCTTCACTGTTACTGTTATGGTGATGGTTATTATTAGCCGCACTGTTACTGTTGTGATGATCAAAGTTACCTTCCTTCTTTTTCGGCGTCGCGGGCTTGACTGTTTTCTTGCCGGTGATCGGGCCAATTTCGGACTCCGAGGAGGACGACATTGCCGTGGCCGTGGCGGTGATGGTTCCATTATTATTGATAGGTGGTGGCGCGGCAGCAGTGGCGGGTGTGGGTGAGACCATAAGAAGGCGGGATGTCCAATTGCATGGGGCAGCGCGTGAGCGCTTGCTACGTGCCTTAGCCGGTACGGACATCATCTCGGGCCGGAACATCGGGTTTGACGTGGCTCGATTGGGTTCGGGCTGGGGGTATTCGTGGGTTTCCGATTCCTCATTGGTGTGAGCATGGACGACGGGTTTCATTCCGGAATACAAGTTGAGCCTTTGGAGGTCGTCACTTGAGAATGAATCTTCCACAAAATTTGATAGCCATTCCAGCTCAGCCAAATCATCATACTGCTCAATTCATTTAACCAAAAGAATTAATAACTTAGCTCAAGGAAATTAAAAAAAAGAAAAATACATAATGAAATTTGGGATTTTTTTTTTTCTCAAGGTAATTGAAATTGAGTTACTTTTTCATTTCTTTTATTCTGAAAGGCACTAAATGACACAAAAGTACTAAGGAGTTCCTCTTTTTAGAAGATAACAAAAAAAAAGGTCCAATTAGAACAGAATTCCTAAGGCAGGCATAATAACGTACAAAAGTGTTAAAGTGACAACCTTTAATAGTAGTTTCCATAAGACTTTAATTTTTGTCACATGAAAGAAATGTACACATTACTACTAGAGACTTATATACTACAACAGTTATATATTTTCTCGAAAAAAAAAACGTTGATATCATTACTCACCGGTACGCAAAGTTCGCTAGAGAATTGACCATCGGCGAAATTCCGGCCGCTTCCGCCCATCTCTCCACCGCCGCCGGTGAAATGAGGCTCGGTGCTGCCGGAAAACGAAGAGTTGCATGAGTTGTCGACGACATTATTGTTATTGGAAGAGTCGGTCGAACCGGCCGCATTCATATCAAATGCACTACTGCCGTCTCCCCCTCCGATACCGTCGTCGTTAGGGAAGTCTAGAAGATCGTCCACGGCGAAATGGTCGCCGTTCTTGGCGTCGACGGAGAGGCGTTTCTCCGGCGTGAATTGTGCGTTGTAGTAACCTCCTTGATAGAATTCCGGGGTCTCCATTCAAAAAGATAAATAAAAGAGAATTATAACCCTATTCGGACTTTGTAGCCTAGCTAGCTATAGACGGGAAGAAAAATATGAGCGTAGTGTGTGTGTGTGTGTGTGTGTGTGAATAGGTTGAGGAAGTGAAGAAGAAGAAGGAGAAAGAAGTATTTTTGGGAAAGAGAAAGAGAGAGAGATAAGTGGGAAGAAGAAGAAGAAGAAGAAGAGAAGGAGAGGGTTTATTTGCAGTTGAAGAGGGGACAAGCAGACAGCTAAAAAATTGGAATTTGACGAGGATAAAATATGGCTTTAAAAAAAAGGAGGAGATTTTACTCCACTTTGTAATTTATATAACCACGGATAAAGCGTCTCACAGTTTTGGGTTAATTTAACACATGGAGGAGAAAAAGTACTGAGATCATGTATTGTTTTGATTTTACTATAATGACCTTGTTTTTATATCCACGTTTTCATTTTTACTGCAACAAAAATAGGGAGGCAAATTGGTCATGGAGGGGGTATGTTATGACTGATGAGCAGCTAGTAGAGGTTGCTGAAAATTGTTATTTGGTGGACCACACGTGAGGAGTTTGTTGATATAAGAGAATGAATGTAATGAATACGTAGGAATGGTCTTTACTTCAAACCAAGGTCACCTCAAAAAACTCTTTTCAGATAATGAAGAATTCTTTCCGGGAGGAATCATGATACATACATATGAAAAGAGTAGGGCTAAAGGTAAATCATGTAACATCGATTCAAACGCGATTTTGCAGCAAACATTTGAAATGTACATATCGACTGTTTAGTTAATAGAATCGTTTTTTTTTCAAATCATATTCGTGATTCCGTGTGTTAAGTTTACTCGCAATACTTTTAAATAGGGAGCACATATTTTCTAGATAATGGAGGGACATTTTGGTAATACGAAGTAACCAAGTGCCCATGTGAAGTGTGATTAAGGAGGGTAAAAAAAAGCAAAGATTAAAAATGGGAATTATAATATAATTAGTAAAAAGTGGATAAATAGAGATGAAAACAAAAGAAAAATAATAAAGTGTTCAAAATTCAACCCCATAGGAACCGATCTAGCAGGTTTGTCGCTGCGCCTCGTGCATTAGTGTCCAAAGCTTACAGCCCGATTCCTCAGGTTTTTATTATTAATTATCTTTTTATCCTCGATACTCGCGCTCTTAAATTTCTTTTCTTCTCTCTTCTTCTTAATTAATTAACTATAACTCTCTGCAAAATCATTTTTTTAAGCAAAAATTCTTTTTCCGTTTCCTCAGAGGTAGCCCACTTGTAAGCACGACGTTTCCAGCTAGCTGTTTTTTTTTTTTTTTCTTTTTTAAACAAAAAAATTTCCTTAATTAAAAGAAAAAAGGATTATGGAGTTTTTAGTATTTTTACCGCCGTCATTGCCACATTGGAGGGTTCAAATTCCCACGGTAAAGTATGTTGTGATTGACACGTGTCAGTTGAAGTGGGAGTTGGGGGGTCCAACGTTTTCCAATCCCTATGTAGGTGAGCAGATAAGGTGTCCGCTGCTGTCATTTATTGAGGTGATGAATTCAGCTGCAGATTGGGGAAAAAGTAAATTCACAGATATTTCTGCTGTCCCTCAAAATCAATTACTACATAAGATTTTTCATTTTTTTGGAGAGGATATAGAATTTTCATAGAGAAACTATAGGAATAGCGAATTCAAGGTTACGTATACGAACTGTGTGGACCAGTCTCAAAACGTTCCACAAATTTACCAAAACCTGGTGTTGTTAATGACTAACTCTCAGTTCGCAAATGCACATAATTTAGTATAATTCTATTACATTCTGAAAATTTAAACGGAATAATAATTGTGGGACAGAGGAAGCCGAATATGTTTAACTAGTATACTCTCATCGCCATCATCTACCGATGTTAAGCATTCAACAACTCTTGTCCGAATGTTTGTTTTCTTCAAACAAGTAAGCAGCGGAAAATGTTTTCTTCGATCTTTTGCGTGTGCTTAAGGAGTGCTTAAATTAACTAGGTCCTCTACTTTAATCCTTGCAATTGATTAACACCGCTACGTACTTTAAGAATAAAATTTATGTGACAGGGAAAAAATGGATGATCAAAAGGGTTCGTACGGTTGGGGACATAAAGTCTCAAGGAGTTCATGAAGACTCGATTTTAGAAAGATGAGAGAATTGTTGGGAAAGAATTGACATGTATCACGGTATGCGATCTCAAATTACGTCTACAGTGAAATTAGTTATGAGGCCTAGATATCTATTACTTCAATAGTAACTACTATATATATTTATCTAGAGTTGTATTTTTAGTTACACGATTCGTTGAATGACGTTTATAATGATTTTGCTATAAACTTATTATGTTACATGTGTTACTTATCGAGTTATGTATTTTTAGTATCTACTTTAGTTTTTGCATCCTACCGTGAACTAACCAAGAAAACGGAAATCTCACCCTAGTAGTAGTTTTTTTTTTTTTTGATGACTTATGATATTAATCTATTTTGCTAAGGAAATCCCTCTTAAATACTAGAAATTAACTTCAATACTTTTTGCCGATGTCACATTTTGAGCATAATTTGGTCGAGAAACAAAAAAAGCTTTCTTTGGAGAGAATTGGTTGGAAGGTAAAAGAAGAATTGTTGAAAACCTTAATTACCGTGCCTCCTATTATTAATTTTGGGATAAACATCCACTTCACCAAAATCATTTCCTTTGAATTTATAGAGTACATACCTCTTCATTTTAAAAAAAAAGAAAACAAAAAGAAGGAAAGAAGTAGATACTTATTAAACAACTTACATATTTTAAATTATTTCAAAATATTCTTTTCAATTTTACATGTAATTCGTAATTTTAAACTAATTATAATTTGAAATGCACCTGGTACATAGGACCATATGGACCTAGGACTACTTCCATCCGAGGTTAGAGATAAACTATTCTTAGTCCCTAGTACGTCTCTCAAACTAGTGTTAGTGTACTCTCCGTTAACTTTGAAGTAAACCATTTTTTTAGTAAATTTATATCTAAATTTATTAAAACCAGATCCAAATTTCTCATACCTTGGTGAATCTATTTAAAAAAAGCATTTTGAAAGAGAGATTTAATTATTTTTAAAAATATAAAATTTTAATTCGTATAATATGAACCCAATATTACAAAAATTTCGAAAAGCAACAATTAAAAGTAGCAATCCTAAAATTAAAACCCAATAAGGCCTTCCTATAAGTGGATACTGGCCCAAAGAAAATGTTGGGCTTTACTTTTAGATAAATTATTTTGTTACCTTTCTGTCAAGCCCATTTTAATTACCAACTTTGTTGGTCTCAAAAGCTCGACAGACAGAAGATTGTCGATCGTCGATCGCCGATCGCCGGACTGTAGAAACAATGTCGGAGAAGAAGAAAGACACCACCGGAGCCAGCAGCTTCGAGAGGGAGGGCGATCTCATTGACTTCGCAATTAGAATCTGGAACAAAACGGTGTCGGAGCCTTACTATTTGTTCCACTTGTTACTCTTCTTCTCTTACATTCCCATTCGCTGCTCCGCCTCCCGTGTCCTCTCCTCTTCACGCGCCGCTACTCTTTTTACTCGCGTACGGTAGCATTTCTCGTGTTCCCTCTAGTATTCACTTCTCTCCCGCACACAGTCACACAGTGAAGATTGCAGTATCTAATAAATCATGCTATTGAGCTCTAAATCTTTGTTTTCTTCAACAGGAAATTCAAGGAGTGGTCACATTTTTTCTTCTGGCTGTGGTGAAGGTATCATATTTCCGTGATTCTTTTCTTCTTGTATCTGTTTTGTTTTTTTGCCATGTTCCATGGTAGTAGAATTTGTGATTACTTCACTTGAGTCTGCTCAAACTATGTCAATTACTATATTAGAGTCATTGGAACTTTTGATAATGACCGAATCATGCTATAGCATCCGTCCTAGTTGTTAATCTAATTGTCACAGATTGAAGATTGAAAATGTGAAGAGCTTATCAATGTGTAATCGAAACTTTTAATACTGTGAGGCTCTTCAAGATGTGAAGGGATGAGTAAAAAAATAAATGGACGACCAAAATGTCATATGTTTACAAAATCTCATGGACAGATTAGTTATCTCTTTCTTCGAAAATGTTTGTTTCTTCCTTTAAGGCTTTTTCAAGAGTAATGGATTGTGCAATCCTACTAATGCATATGCTAACTTATGGCACTTTGTTCTCTGAGTTTGTTTTTTTTGCTTTGAGGTTTCATAAAAAGTTTTAAGGTTTGAGTTGAACATGCCATTTTCTTCTTGTTTTCAGGTTAATTATTGTGAGTATTTTGTGGGAATGTGTTGTGTATCATTGGTCTCACAGGAACCAAAATTTTGCTATGGGATATGTTTGAATCTTAGCAATAATTAGTTGTTATGAATGAGCAATTATTTGCGAGTTAATTTACTTCTCTGTTTCCTTCTTTTAAATTGTCAGTTGGTAAGGGATGAAACATGGGAAGCGTTCATTTCCAACGCTCTATTCTTTGCCAAGGTGAATATTTGTCCTTCTTGTTACTTATTTACATCATGTCAATATGCTAATTTAGTTTACATTTCATTGCACACTGTCCGATTGAATTGGATTTGTCATCCTCATTCAATTCATTTATACTGTTCTTCTAAATCCTTTTCTACGATGGTTTCTCCTAACCTGACATTTCTGTTAGTCGACCTAAAGAATATGAATTTATGTAGTGTAGTGTAGAATTTTCATCACTTAAACTAGATCCCTTCATGATTTTCATTGAAAACTTGAGATTCTAATTGTAGTCATTCCATTTGAAATAAATGGCACGGAAAGGTTTCTTCATCAAGGCAATACAAGATATATGTGTGCTTCAAAGACACGTAGAATTGTGCATGTAGTGTAGATAATGCCCTTTAGGGACAAGTGGCCTTTTCTAATTATCATTGACTGTAATAGTCTTTAGGCTGAGTTGTTAACATGTTTCTGTTTGATGTTTTTGGTTGAAAGATTTGGACTTGCTCTGATTCTAAATTATTTTTCCCGTTATAGAAAAGGTCTGATCTGTAACCTATTCTTGCTTTTTCCAGATTTACCTTGCTGGCATCGCTCTTGTTATGGATTATCACTTAGCTCTCTGGTACTCTTTGGGGTTTTTAGGTGAGATTTTCTTTTTTGGTCTTCATTTAGATTGTCAGAATCTAACTGATGGCTTACAACGATCCTTGTCAACTATCATATAGATTTGTAACAGTTTCTGCATTCTTTAATCTCTTGTTATTATCTTCTAAAGCAATTTTTCCTCATTCCACTAGTCACTGTATGCACTCTAGCGATAAATTTGATGCCATATGTGACAGAAATTTCCACAATAATATCATCTTGATGTAACCTGATGTTTCTCCATGTTGCAGTTATTTATATCTCAGCGCAACAGCCTCCTTATGAAGAATTTGGTATACTTTAACATTTTTTCCCCCTTTGATTCTACATGCTTTATTTTTTTTGTTGATTTACTCCTCTTTACATGATGGGTGAATAATTGTCTGTTTTATGATAAATTTAAGCATTTTTCTCGTCATCAGCTGATTTATTTTCTCTAAATTGTCCAGGAGATTCAACTCAGTTAACTCCCCTACAATTAGAGACGTTACTCACTGAAGGAAACACGTCCAGATTCTGGCTGGTAAATTCTCTTTATTCTCTGTACTTTGGCGTATAATTTAATGCTTTTGGGGAATAAAATGTTTCATTATATCGTTTCCTTACATGTTGAAACTTGCAGGTTGAATTTCGTGCTTTGTCCGTGTCCTCTTGCATAAGAACTAGTTCATTCTTCCCGGAACTTTCGATTACGTGAGTACTTCTACTTTTAAAGGCCATCTCAGCAGGGGATTAATGACTTTATTCTACCATGACGATAACTACTATTGGACCTAACTACAAATTTTATATATTTATCTATGATATCTGACTTTGTCGGAATGCATTCTGCTTGGTGTACATACAAAGCCTTAACACTTTAGTAACAGCAAGTCTGCATTTTGAGCTCCTGCTGTAATCATTTAAAAGCTCTATTTTTAAGAAAATAATTAAATCTGAGGAATTCTTATAACCTTGGTTTTTACTGAAATCTCTCTACTATATTCGTAGATCATTATCTGCAAGTAGTTTTATGGGATGTCGGAAATGTCCTGGTCCTGGTTTTGAGAATTATAGATTAGTTTCGACCCAAAAAAAAAGATATAAAGATTAGCTTGTCAATTCTGTATGGGTTACAAAGTGCTGTAGTTATTACTGTTCAGGGTCCTGACATGGATATAAAAGAATTAGTATTCATTAACCAAAAAACAAAAAAAAAGAATTACTATTCGTTCATCTAACTTCTTGGCGTATCTGCTTTCTTTTTGAGCAGATATTCAAACAAAAACTTGTCTTTTGGAATAGTTGATCTTGGTCTCTTCCCAAATGTTGCTGAGAAGTTTGGAATTTCTCTTGGTATGATTTCTTTGATTGCTTTCTGATAGTCAAATAGCTTCACCTTATAAAACATTTAAGTGTTTTTCCATGAAAACTGATTAATTAGGTACTTTCTCTTAGGTAGCCTCAGCCAGCTTCCAGCTTATATAATGTTTGACAATGGGACAGACGTCTCTTGGCTCGCAGAGGTGGATTCAGGAGTAAATATTTTCCGTCCTTCCCTGACGAAGGTAAAGGTTTTCTTTCTTTTTATTTTATTTTATTTTTTTGCTAGTAGAGAACTATTCTTCAGCGCACTTCAGTATGCATTTCCGATTGTGCTTGATTATGAATGGTCTTTATGACTTCTATTTACATTTTGGATTTGTTTTGGTGTTGATTGAGTTTTAGTTATAAAAAGAAGTATAAAAACTCTTTCTGAAATTATAAGAAGTAATATTGAAAGTAAGAATGGATATTGGGAATATGGAAAAATCAGTTTATAATGAGAACTGAGATGAAGTTTGGTCCTGAAAAACAGTCCATACAAGTGCGGGTCATCAGTCATGTCTTATCAACAATATTGAAAAAGTAAGAATGTATATTGGGAATATGTGATCTTACTTCTTTGTGAAAGAGTTCCGAGTCTTGCCACTTAATTTTGAGACCTATCAATTGTTGAAAAGAGATAGAAAAGGTTGCAGAATCATGACCTGTGCCTAAATGAACTAATATGGAATAATTCCATTTCAAAACCTAGTACAAGGATATGCAACTGACTTTTTGTGTGGGTTTTACATAGTATCATCCATGGGGCTCAAGCATGTACACTACATGTTATATTTACCTTCGGCTTTAGATAAGTTTCTGATCAAATTTGTCATTGTTTGTCCCCACACATTAGAAGTTACTGTGTTTCTGCTTATAATGCTTCTTTCCCTTGCAATGCAGAAATATATGTGCCGGCATTTTGAGCTTGATAAGCTTCTTCTTGATTATGTGCATGGAAAATAGGTAATGACTTACCTTGAATTAGTAGATTCATGCTCTTAGTTTTAAGTTAGTCTCTTGGATTTTTGTTCTGAATTAATTATATAGATACACAGTACCTTTACAGGACAAAGTTTCTTCTTGAAGTTCTTCACAACCACGAGTTCTGCTATTCAGAATCATATTGAAATATCTATAGATTTGCAACCTGCCACCTCACTTTATTGGGTAAAAAGATTGGAATACTTTGTCATATGAATAACTTGTTTCTCCAGAGTTTCTAAGTATTTATTTGACGTGGATGTTTGTCATCAATGCACAGTAAGGTTCGAAATGATATATTGTTCAGCCTGTGTGGCCACTGTAATATGTTATCTGTTAGATATCCTCTTAGAATCACATTTACTTTATCAGCCTTTGTGCTTGTTTTTTCATTCAAATTAAATCATGTTTATTACAGCACATAGCATTTTATGCCTCATTGTACCTAATGGAAGAAAATCCTGTGCAAGTGGTACCTTAAAATGGTTCAAATTTACGATTCCATTCTTTTGTTGGGAAATTGTTATGAGCGATTTCAGTGCAATGCCATTTCAATTTCAAACCTCATGTGTCTGGACTGCAGATCATGATCCTTGACGTTGCACTTACTCAATTTTGTTTTGCAGATTACATCAGAGATAGGCAATGAACAGCACCCGCATCAGCATGTTGAAGGTTTTGCTTGCAAAACATCTCTGGTGAAGTAACTGACAGTTTTTTAAGTTTTTCCAAGTCCATTGTCAATAGAAAGTCAGTAGCAAATGATAGAGCTTGGATTGATTGTCTCACACGTCAAATGAATCACATTATGTCATTATGATACAATTAGTACACCCTTGAAAAGAGGGTGTATGGATAGATGTTAAAACAAAACAGAGTCTTTTTTGATTTTGTAAATTGAACTTTGCACATGTGAAGGAATTTTTGTTGTACGATGGCACGAGAATCCTGGTTAGATTAAGTACAGATGAAGAAAGAAAAGATTATTAGTTTTGTTTGGTTTTGTTTTATGATAAAGTCATTCTCCAACTTTTCGAGTTCTTCAAAAGTTCTTCGCATGCATTACAACATGTGGAAATTGCTCATCTTTGTTCCATGAATCTGGTTGCTTAAAGGAATGAGTTGTCCGCTTAAGATTATATATATACTACTCCTAAAAGACGTCTTTTTTCTTTTCTTTTTTTTTGTGAAAACGAAAAACTTAAGAGACGTCTTTGATTTCTTTGATTCTCATTCATTTCTTTGCTTTTGTTACTTTATATTCCTCATGTTTTTCCGTTTTGTATCGTACGTTTCATCGCTTATTATATGCTTATGCTTTCTTCATCATTCTTATTACATAGGAGTATAGAAAATGTCTCTAAACTGTGTCTTAAACTCTCTAGTCCGCATGGTTTAGGAAGAAAACTTGTGTGTTTCAAAAGTTGAAATTGGTGATAGTAATGGGTGAAAGACGTATTTTGTCATATCCCTCTATGATGCATAACATTCTTTCACATCTTTTCTTTTCTAATTAATAATAATACTATTAAATCTCAAGTGACTTTTTAATATTTTAATTAAAAGAATTAAGGATAAGATGAGGAGCCGTCGCCTTTTTGGTTTTTAAATCGAAAAGAATATTGCGGTTTGACATTGGAAGGAAAAGACCGCCAATTGACAAACACACACACACACACACACACAGAGAGAAGGAAAAAATCAGGTGGAGATGGGAATAGAAAAAATGGAACACCCTGGGTGAGTGTGTGTGGGCTGCTGCTGGAGGAGACCACTGAATCAAAAAAGCATGCTATAAAGTTAAGCCGGTCTTCACGCGTGCGGCCCACATCCAACAAGAAAATTGGGGGCCCGTTTTTACAAAATGGACAGTGGACCACCACTACCATCACGAAACACAGATACGGCCTGCTGGCGTCAGTCTCACGGCAGACAAAACTGAATGCAAAACGGTAGCACGTGCTTGAAAGTATTTTTAATTTTGACCATGGTTTTTCTATTATCAAATTGTTAAAATTTCATTAAGGTTTGCCATAAAGTTTGTGTTAATTCCTTTTGACCCCGTTTATAAAAAGAAGGTAGTAGTAAAACAGAAGCCTTTTTTTTTTTTTTTTTTTCTGCTTTTTGTGCATTCGGTTCTGCAAATGAGGTTTTTTTTGTCCAAACTTTTTTGTGTCTACTCCAGTGCAAGAAAAATTCAGTACGATATCATCAATTAAATGATTTAATCAATAATTCAAAAATTATAATAGCTGATAATAATTATAAATTGACTTGAATGATTGACCGAACCGTTCCACTACACAATTTCTCCTACTTTAATGTAAAACTTTATATTTTCTTTAAGTTGGTTACAAGGTATGTTGTTTTTTTTATTAAGTAAATGGAAGTTGGCTGTTGGCCTAACTTAGTATAGCTCCTTTTAATTTCCACTTAATATGAACCATTCAAAAGAAACCTTCTTAGTTCTTTATATTTAACCTAGTCAAGTCCGAGATGAAATCACTGAAAAGAACTGAGAATTTGAGGACGCATGGATTTTGACACTCTATATATGTGTATTTTTAGCTGATTTTTATTTTCAAGAGGAAATTAACCTTTTTATGGCTGATATATTTAAGTTAGGGTCAATTCATTTCCTCCAAAATCCACGGGTAAATATAAATATAGAAGAGCTCTTTAAATCCAGAAATAATGTTTACATTAGTAAGTTGAAGGATTTGAAAACATGCAGAATCACAAACGTACTATATCATAGAACAACGACACGGGAATCAGAGTTTTCCAGCCAAGGTTTTCTTCTCACTGTTTCAACAATGAGACAAAATGTATCAAATGAGATCATAAATAAAAATGTAATGGAGTTTTTTTTTTTGTTTATATTATATATTGATAATTGATCATTGTGTCAATTACGCTATAATAATTATGCTTCAATCAATATATGGTCCAACATGAGTGTTCAAATTAGTGTGTGTGTGTGTGTGTGTGTGTGTGTGTGTGTGTGTGTGTGTGTGTGTTTGGTCGTATTGCTGTAGACACTCTCATTACTATGATGATTCACCTGGCATGAAATTAGTTATCATCACTTCCATAATTTCTCAATTTATATTACGTAAAAAATTTTTGCGCTCGTAGAAATTTCTCGTAAAATATAAATCATGTTTCTTGTATTTCAAAACACGATATTTATTTTCTTTTCTAAACCTTGATAGCTAATCTACCGTATTATCAATAAAAATCATGGTTCTCAATCAACAATATTGATGATCGATTGAGAACCATTATTCTAAAATACTATTCTCTTCGTCTAAATTATTATTATTATTATTATTATTGTTATTATTTGATAAAAAGAGTACAGCAAATAAAAATTTTATTTTTGAAACGAAATGAATATAATATTAGGTCTACCATCTTTGTGTTGAAGGTGGAGTTTCAGTTCACAAATAGTGGAGGACTCAGCATTTTGAACCGCAGTTAGAAAGGTCATCCACCATATACCATGGCCTCTTCTTTTGATCAAGTCCTGTTGGGTTTACCATGAAAAATAGGTACGCATACTAGGTCGACCCTATTGAGAAACTGAAAAGATGCCTCTTATGTCTTTTGTTTTGTTTAATAAATGTATTGTGTTTATCTCATCTAAGAAAGAACTAGAAGAAGAAAAGGATAGATGAATATAAAACAATCTCTAAGTAAATAGAAAAAAAAATTGCAAAGGACCTCAGTTATTGTGGACATCACAATTCACCAATATAGTCAAAACAAATTGTTGTAAGATCTTTTCTGTTGAAAACGGCTTACTCTAATCGTTGACTATCAACCACCGCCCACCGTTGAATTCCTCATCTGTTGCTGCCAACATACCTATTTGCCAGCAACAGATATGCAACCCTCGGTGGTGTGGTTGATAGTTGATTAAACTTAAAAATACCGACGTAAAAATTAATCAAGTATTATTCTTTTCGTCCAAAAATAATTGTCTAGTTTAAATTTTTGTTTTTAGTATAATTTATTCTCATGTGGTGAAGTTTAAATTTTTAGAAATTTATACCTTAGTTTAATTTGACTTAGGTGTTTGAGAAGTGGATTTTATGACGTCCATTGCTTTAAAACAATGGCGAGATGTCACGTATATGTAGTTGGTATATCTTGACCATTCTTTATTTTGATTATATTTTGACTAGATCAACTTTAAACTATTTATGGAATAAATTCTGGAAGATAGGAACATATATGAGCAAAAAATATTCTTGTAATTAAAATGGTCTACACATTTTTTTTTTTCGTAAAGAATGTAAATGTATTTGCCAACAAATATTGGGGAAGAAGTGTGGATTGAAACTCTAGATGCTGATGATTTGTCAGTCTACAATTGAGGGCTCGGTGAATTTGGAAAATAAATTTTGCTAAAATCAAAAGCCACTAAATTAAGATTGTCTCCCATCGTTTTCATTTTTATTTTTTTTTTTATATTCACCAATTTCTTAGTAAAACAAATCAACAATTCCGACTGTCAAAACTCAAAAATACACAAATGGAAGACCAAAATAAAACAAGAAATCTGTTGGTTAAGGAAAAATATGAGTAAATGCCAACTGATCATAAGAATCAAAACAAACGCGCGTCATCTAAATACCAAAACAGAGAAAAATTACGCAACTAATTAGACGCAAGAAATTAACCAACCGGGAAGGAGAGATGATATTGTCCTCGTATATATATATATATATATATATATATATATATATATAACCAATTCCAAGATATCTGATCTATGCAATTGCGATTTGCGATGAAGCTGATATCTCATTTGTGAGGAAACTTCAACCCTAATCACTTCCCGATTTCCCTTGGACATATTGAACAGGTAAATTTAAAGGGAACTTGGAAACATTACTAAGGTTTATATAATAACACCATTTCCACAAGGAGATGTTAATATAATAGCTACAAGGATACCTTATGCAGAGACATATGATAATTACAATAATAGGACAATATATTTATGATAATAATTATCACGAAATGAAGAAGAGAGACCTCAAGAACCACACCCTCTGCAGGCTTTATTTGTGAAGACAGGATATCTATGATCATTTTTTTGAAGACAAGGATCTATGATCATTGATAACTGAGTAAGAGACACACATTTGAATCGCATTAGAGATTTCTTTTAAAGACCTCTTGAACCAAAGAAGTCGGGCAGCGACGACATGTTAATTGAAACGAAAACCCTAATAAAAGAAAAATTAAAAACCAAACTTTGAGGAATATGAAGCTGAAATATTACTTGATAGTATTTAAGTGCCATTCTTAAGTAACACATATGCATGCAGCTCGAATAATGAGTGAAACTTCTCGTATCATTTGAGTGTGTCACTGATCAAGGGCCAGTTTGATAAAACTTAATTTGGGTCTGAAATTTAAAATCTGAAATCTGAAAACTGAATCATAAGTACTGAATTGATTAAGTTTGTCGTGTTTGATAAAAACCAAAATCTAAACACTGAATAAAATGCCTGAAATCAGAAATCTGAACACTGAAATTTAAAGTATCTCGACTTATAATTTTATCTAAAAAAATAATTGATGTATATGAAACTATGATAATAAAAATAATACTATTATAATTAAATAATGTAATAAAAATATTTAAATTTTATTAATCATTATAAATTAATAAAATGAACTATTTTTTGAAATAGAATGTTTCTTCTAATCACCGTTAATAGCTCACCATGTCACGTCTTCACCTTGTCACGTTTTCGACTCGTAGCCTTAGGCCACCGCCACGACTCTTAAGTCGTAAAAAATGTAGGGCTTGTTTGACCAACATTTTGTTTTAGTTTTTATTTAGTTTTTGATTTGAGTTTGAGATGTCATTCAAAATGTGGTTTGAGATAAAATTTTAAAAATTGTTTGGTAATATTTTAAATAAAATAATAATATTTTTAGACTACCATCGGACCACCTCCACCATCGGCGGCGCCGCTGGAGCGCCCATCGCCACCGCTAAGCTGCCATCGACCGGCGATCGGCAGGCTGGTTGCCGGTCGGCGGCGATGGGCGGGCCAGTGGTGGACGGTGGTGGCGGAGGTGATCCGGTGGTGGTGTAAAAAAATAGTATAAAAATAATGTTTGAAATAAATTTTAAAAAATAAATTAAAAAGTTGTTTAGATAGTATTGGATTTTGTGTTTGAGATGTATTTTCAGAGGTAAAATGCGACAAAATGCAAAATGTGATTGAAAGACCAAACAAGACCGTAGTTACCTGAAATTTGAACTTCTCGACAATCACGTCGATCAGCTCAGCAGCTGAATATTCTCTATTCCATACGAACATCTGATCAGTCGCTTTTTTCCCATGGTTAAAATGTTAATGCAAAATCTTATCTTTGACAAAAAGTGACTTTGCAATTTTAGTGACATTTTATATTCAAGAGGAAAGATATGCACTTGTGTGCAGTACTTTGACAGTCCACTACTTCTTGCTCTACTTTTGAAATGTCAATGGGGTGCTGCTGTTAAAGTGTTGCTTTTACCATTGAATTCTAGTAAAAAGTCATTGTCACCTGCACTCAATTAAAAAATACAGTTTTTTTTTTTCCATCCAAAAGAAAACATTGTTTATTTATGTGAATAATATGGCAATTCAACAAGGTACTCCATCTATCCCAAATTTTACTAATTTATTTTATTGTATTGTTTCATATCAACAAAATGAACCATTACACTCGGGGAATTAACTGGAAATGCAATTCTAAATTTTTATGGTTAAATTCCATATCTTTGCGATCAGCTCCTGTCTCTTTAGTATTTATAAATGTCTTTGTGTTTTTTACCCATTAGTTAGTCCATAGACTATGAGAACAAAAGAATGCCTTTTTCTTAAATATACATGCAAACACGCATTTCTATGTTAATAAAAATTGAAATAGAACAGTTGTGGTGAATTTGCTACTTCTCCTCTCCAAAATATACGAGAAATCCTACTAGGAAACGAATAAAAAATTCTAAAACCCGAAATTTAGACACTTTTATCCGTCGATTTTCTTCCATTTTTCATCAATAAAATCGAAAGTTTACCTACCAACTACGTGCGAAGTCCCCCGAACAAAAAAAGAAGGGGGAAAAGAGTGAAATAGACTGCTCTAGTAATAGCCAATCTCATAGTAAAACGTAAATAACAAGAAATCTTTCTGAAGTTGGGATTTCTAAAAACAGATCTTTCCTAGTACTACTTGGGTATCTTTAATGAATGCATGCTGTTTTTAATTTTCAATGAGGAATTGGACATTTAATCACATCCACTGATCTATCTCTATCATTAGCTCTCACAACGGGAAACAACAAAATTTTTACACCAAATTAATTTTGATGCCGACTGAGGTGAAAAAATGCTTCACTTTAAGGAGCACAAACTTCGTACCCCGGCTGTTAAAAAAGAAAAAAAAAAAAAAAGATCCAGTTGGAGATATTAAATGGACTATTAAAATTAAAAATAACTATATTTGTCTGAACATTGTACTGGAGCCTCAAGAATGTATCCATGTCCTAAATTAGAATCGATATATTGTAAACAAAAGTGAATACAGGAAGCAGCATTTTTATTCTCAGAAGTTAAAGATGAAGAATTCAATGTTGCATGCACTCCAATGTACGAGGACTTACGTATTACCCTTTGTCTTAAACTATTGTCCTGATTGAATTTTTACGTTTAATTTATATTAAATATATAGAAATTCAAACTAAATAATCATTTTAGGAGACAAAAGAATAATGGGTTTCTTTTTCTCACTCAGACGTCTGGTTAATTTGAATTCGATGTTCTGAATATATACATATCACACGTAAACTAATTCTTCATTCGACCATCGAAATAACTATTTCAAAAAATACAAGCCTCCAACATTATTGGATTTGATTAGTATTACGTAAGGAAAACTTATAGGTTTCGAATTATTAATATGCGTATCAACAAATAGTTCTAAAAAGACAAAATTGACTTGGTCGATTAGATATCAGTTCAAGTGCCACATATACCATACTTCAAGCCTTATGTGACTTGACTATACATGGCATGATAGTAAAGAACTGAGACGATGGAAAAGAGTGATTGGAAAGTAGAAACATGGCATGGCATGGTACATTTTTTGGGTGTGTGGTAACGCAGCAAACAACATTGAATAAAAAGCATACAAAAAATCAATCAATCAGAGGGGATGAGAGATAGATATATAAATGTATATACATACATATATTAAAAGCGCATGCCAAACATCCTCATTATTCTTGTCCTCTCTTTCTTTTCTTTCGATTTCACCACAAGCAATCTGTCTCCTCTCCTCCTTTAATATATCTCTCTGGGTCTGGGATCTGGTTTTTTTGGTTTGGATTTTTTTGCCTCTTTTCTTCAATATGCGCATGACATTTGTCTCCTTAGTTACTGTCCTATTTGCCCCCACACTCCCGTTGTTTTCACTTTTGCCCCCTCTCCTTTCATCTTTTTTTACTTTGTCATAAGTTTGGTCCATGGGGAAAATTTTAGTAACATTATTGGAAGAGTGACTTAGAAGAAACACAAATAAGTGGTCACTTTCAATTTTGTCTCTATTGGTTAATTGGAAAAGTGGGAGTTAAAAAAGAAGAGAGAGATAGAGGAAGGAGAGGGTGAAGATATGGATTGACATCTAGTTGTTGTTGTCCTGCTAAACTACATACATTCACAGATTCACTAGTGAATTTCACAAAAGTATGAATATACATTGATGAAAATGAAATATTGCTAGATGCCCAACATACTTCTAATTCAAGCTTATAACTTTTTCCCTTTCAATCCCTTTCTTTGTTTTCTTTTACTTAAGTATTTGATGATTTACGGTACTTTATATAATCTATCATTATTAGACTTCATTATACACAATATGGATATGAATCATTGAAAGAACGCTAGGCCTAGCACACAGTATAAGACATTCTATGGAACGGAATAAGAATTCACATGTCACTCTCGATACAAATATAACTGGTGTTGCAGAAACACTAAAAATCTTTAACTATTACCTTTTGTTATGTTACTATTCAAGAGACACGATTAATACTAATTTTGTGCTTTATCAAAGTATTTTTGCATCTCAAAAATAAGAAAAGGGGTAAATGACAAAAGTTGAGGATTATATAGAGTTGAAATGACAACAATAGGGAAAATGAAGGGCAAGACTAGAAAATGTTGGGCTTGAAATTTCTGTGAGAGTAGTATGAAAGCAGCATAGTACAGTAGTACTATTATTACACCTTGCAGAGGTATCTTCTGTGAAGCTAATAAAACTAGCTTTAGCTGCAGCAGCTGCTCCTCTTATCCCCATCTTTCCTTACTTTTTCCCAGTTTTCACTCTCAAAAGTGCTGAAACCTTCGAACCCAAATCTGACAGTATCCCAACAACACCCTCTTTATAATCTTTCTCTCTCACACACTCACACAGTGGGAGAGTTGTATGAATATCAGTATATTACAGTGAGAAAGCAAAAAAGCAGACAAAAAGAATACCAAGCAATAAAAGAAGAGGTGTTAAAAAAAAAAAAAAAAACACAGCTGCACCATTGTAGAAAGCAACAACTCAAACTCCATATTAAACCAGAAAAAAATAATCAAAGGGTCTTCCATTCTCCACTTTCTCTCTCTCTTACTTCTTTCATTCCCTCCTCAATAATAATAATAACCCCCACCAGTTATCCTTCCATTCTCATTCTTCTTCTGTGTTGTCTTTCCAAACAGACTTATTACCTTATACACACACATAAAAGGGATTTCTTTGGTCTTGAATCAAATGCATGTTTCATTTTTGTACATAGAAATTCGTTTATCATAAGGTTTTGATCAAAGGGTCTGAGTTTCTGGTGCTTTTTTTAAAATTTTTTTTTATTGGATTTTGAGGTGGTGGAGGGAGGCGGGGGGTGGTGGATTGTGAGAGTGAGGGATCCAATGGAGAAAGATCTGGCCTTTGTGTTTGGTGCTAACCGATTTTGAAGGATTAAGAGGCTAGTGGGGAAGGAAGAAGGAGAAAGACTGCGTTTTTATTTTATATTTTTCAGGAATTTGTTAAGCACTAGGTAATTCATGTCTCCTCTATCATACAGTAGTCTGTATGTTTTTTTGTGTGCATGTGTGAGTTTTTTTCGTGTCCAAAAATAGTGCTTGTTGCATAAATCTATGTGGGATTTTGTTATCCTTTCTTGATTTTGAAGATTTCTGGAAGATTCAAATCTTCAGACACAAACTTTCACTACTTAATCATATCATGTTATCCGAGCTTTGTCTCAGTTTTCTATGCATAAGCCATTTATTTACAGCTTGAGATATATATTACCTGTAATATACACACAGATAGTACAAGCATTCAAACACTAGTATCAGCTATTTATGACTCTTGTTTTTTTGATTATCTGTGGTTCTGTATTGTTGTATCTGTGAGAGGAAACATGGAATGTGAAGGGCTGTCTCGTGAATCTTGTGTGATGGTGATTTGAGAGTTAAAGCTGGTGACTTTATTCACTAAAGTTTAAAAAGAAAAATCCTTTTGTTTGTTTTCCAGTTCAATTTCACATAGCTCGTTCGTATTATCTAGACACCTTGAGGCTTAAACTGTTCAAAAGGAAGGATTTTTCACTTGGGTTTAATTTATTCTTGGGGTGAGTGAAAAGGGCCAAAATTTCTTGGCTAAATTCGATAGCTTTATTATTATCTTTTGCTTTTTCAAATGAGGGGGTGATTTGAAATGAACAGCCAAACCAAATGAGATTTTGTTTCACTCTATTTTTGGTTGAATCGAGTCGGAAAAAAATTGTGTGAAGGAAAGGTGTTCATTGATATTGGATTTTTGAGGCTTTGTTTTTGTACCTGTAATTTCAGAATTTGAAGTGATGATGGCGGTAACTTCGGCCTGCAAAGACGGTGGAACCAAAATGCAATTGGACAACGGAAAATATGTCCGTTACACGCCGGAGCAAGTTGAGGCTTTGGAGAGGGTGTATCATGAATGTCCAAAACCTAGCTCCCTCCGGCGGCAACAGCTTATCCGGGAATGTCCGATTCTTTCCAACATTGAGCCCAAGCAAATCAAAGTTTGGTTTCAGAACAGAAGGTTTTTAATTCTTAGTTCCTCAATTTCTTTATTGGTCTTCATTTTTGTGGAAAATTTTTAGTAGATTTATTTTTAATTAATGAATCAAGAAAATTATGATCCGTAACGCAACAATGTTTCGATTCTGCTTGCAGATGTAGAGAAAAGCAGCGGAAAGAGGCATCACGCCTTCAAGCTGTGAACCGAAAATTGACAGCCATGAATAAGCTGTTGATGGAGGAGAATGATAGGTTGCAGAAGCAGGTTTCTCAGTTGGTGTATGAGAACAGTTTTTTCCGCCAACAGACTCAGAATGTAAATCATCTTCTTTTCATAATTCCCTCTATTTTATTCCTTTGTCTGGCCCTTCTAATGTTTGAAATATTTGAGCCATAAGTTCTTCGAGTAATAGATTCTTTTAAGCTAATAACCTTTCTAATTTGATCTTCATTTAGTGTCCAAACAAAAGGTAATTTAACAACCACGCCAGTTATAACGTCATAAGAATCGAAATAAAAAGAATGTAGAGTAAGTGTTTGTTTTATTGAACAAGATTTCATGCATCAAAATCGTAATCATAATCATAATCAGCCCCTTTGCTGAAAGGCTCCTCGCGAGGTGAAGGGATGCTTATATGCAGTGGTAGTGCCTATGATGTTTGTATTCAGAAAATTATATTCAGATCTATGATAATTGCAGGCAACCCTCGCCACAACAGACAATAGTTGTGACTCTGTGGTGACAAGTGGTCAACCACAGTTGACTCCTCAGCATCCCCCAAGGGATGCCAGTCCTGCAGGGTGAGTGGAGAATGTTTCTTGTTATTTGTGATTCTTATTATATTCATTTAAGTTTTTCAAGGTGTATATGTTCCCTTTGACATGGCTGATATGAGGATTTTTTGTATCTTTTACAGACTTTTGTCCATTGCAGAGGAGACTTTAACAGAGTTTCTATCAAAGGCTACTGGGACTGCTGTTGAGTGGGTCCAAATGCCTGGGATGAAGGTTTGATGATTTCTTTATTGAAAAATGCCTGTTCGTCGTAATATGCTTTGCAATGATCTCTTGAATAATGCCTATCAATACAGTTAAATAGCCTCAGAACTGTTAATTTTTTCTCCTGTCTTCTGCAAAATATGATCACCCTCTCTAATTATTCCCACTTGAAACATCTACTTGCTGTTTTTGCCCCCACATATTTTTCCCACGACTTTAATTGGTTCCTCAAAAAGGTCACTACATGGGGTTAAAATTGTAATGACCAACGCTTATCTAAGGAAAGGGAGTTTTATGTTCACCAAGTAATATCGTCGGTGAAAGAGGGTGGCCGATATTTTAAATACTTTTGTCTGACCCCATTAAAACTTGAACTTGTTAACTGCTTTGTGTTTTGATACTTTGCTGTGTAGAATCACCTTTATTTTTCCATCTAAACTTTGGTTTTCCTGAATCTGCAGCCTGGTCCGGATTCCATTGGAATCATTGCTATTTCTCATGGTTGCACTGGTATAGCATCACGTGCATGCGGTCTTGTTGGCCTGGAACCTACGAGAGTAAGTCTGGAATGAAGCAATTTGAAATGAAAACTGTTTCAATCACCATTCCAATAGTTATAATCGGTAATATTTATGCAGGTTGCTGAAATCTTGAAAGATCGGCCCTCATGGTTTCGTGATTGCCGAACTGTGGACATCCTGAATGCAATGTCCACTGGAAATGGTGGAACCATTGAACTGCTTTACATGCAGGTTATTATTCTTTGTCTTTAAAATTTCCTTTTGTAACTGTTAGCTGAACTTCCATATAAACATTTATGATTTCTTGTTCAGCTCTATGCTCCTACTACTCTGGCACCAGCTCGTGACTTTTGGCTACTAAGATATACATCTGTGATGGAGGATGGTAGTCTTGTGGTATGTTAATGGAAATGAAAAAGATTTATTCTTTGTCATTTACCAATGATAGAAATCTAATGCTAATTTCTGAAAAATCTTAGGTTTGTGAAAGATCACTGAACAATACTCAGAACGGTCCCAGCATGCCACCGGTTCAACATTTTGTGCGAGCTGAGATGTTCCCGAGTGGATACTTGATCAGACCATGTGAAGGAGGTGGCTCCATAATCCATATTGTTGACCACATCGACTTAGAGGTATTTTGCTTGCTATCAAGATAAAGTTTCTCTTTTTTTTTTTTCTTTTTTTTTTAATTATAATATATTCGTTATGCTCTACTGACCATGTTGATCATATTGTTAACCAGCCATGGAGTGTTCCTGAAGTGATCCGTCCACTGTATGAATCATCAACTTTGTTGGCTCAGAAGACAACCATGGCGGTATAATTTCCTTTGGCTATTTTAATTTTTTCCGCGTTCTCAGTGATCACATCTTATGAAGATGCTCTCTCGTGTAGATAGCCTCTCTTATCCAAACAGATTGCTACTTCTTTGTGATGTGGAATGTACCTTTTCGAAGCAAAACTGACTTCCAAATACTTTCCAGGCTTTACGCCAGTTGAGGCAGATTTCTCAAGAAGTTTCTCAGCCTACTGTTTCGGGTTGGGGAAGAAGACCTGCAGCATTACGGGCCCTTAGCCAAAGACTGAGCAAGTAGGTTTCTGGAATACATCACTCAATTTACTTCTGATCTTTTTTAAGCGAATGAACACTTACATTCTTTGCTTTGTAGGGGTTTCAATGAAGCTGTGAATGGTTTTGCCGATGAGGGATGGTCAATGCTTGACAGTGATGGCATTGATGATGTTACTGTTCTTGTGAACTCATCTCCCAGCAAACTGATGGGTGCAAATTTCCATTATGCCAATGGCTTTTCGTCTGTCAGCAATGCTGTGTTATGTGCCAAGGCCTCCATGCTTTTACAGGTGAGAATTAAACTGCTGATTAGAATATTGGCTACGAAGGTTTACTTTAAAGCTAAAAAAGCCTGAATGGTATGTCAAAACTTAGGCCCAAAAGATTAGGTGCTCTGTAGATTTCTTTTTCTGTATATCTTCTTTCAATTGTACTTCATTTCTGACTAAAGGTTTTCTGAACCTTGATTGGTAGAATGTGCCTCCTGCTATACTTTTGCGGTTTCTCCGGGAACACCGATCAGAGTGGGCTGACAGTGGTATTGATGCATATTCAGCAGCTGCTATTAAAGCTAGCCCTTGTAGTATACCTATGTCACGAGCAGGAAATTTTGGTGGTCAAGTCATCCTACCACTTGCTCACACAATTGAACATGAAGAGGTATGTTAATCAAACACTTCCTTCAAGTACTCTTTTAACCATTAACATGTATTATGATGCTGTACTTCATCATTCTAATAATATATTTGCATCTCTAAAACAGTTTATGGAAGTGATTAGGCTGGAAAACATTGGCCATTACCGTGAAGACATGATGATGCCTAGTGACATCTTCCTTTTACAAGTAGGTTCCATTTTTCCTGATTCTGTCTTTGTGCACCATCTCGTATCAACACTTGAAAAGTTAATGCTAATGATGTTCTAGGTCATGGCTCAGAAATATGTGTGTGTTACCATTTTATAGCATGTCTAGTGCAATTTTAGGCTCAAAATTAGTTTCCGTCCATTGCAGCTTTGCAGTGGAGTGGATGAGAATGCTGTTGGTACTAGTGCTGAACTGGTTTTTGCACCAATAGATGCCTCTTTCTCTGATGATGCACCTCTTCTTCCTTCTGGTTTCCGGATCATTCCTGTTGATTCCAAAGTGGTAACACCTTTTTCACTTTGCAAAGAATAATTCTTTAAGTGTGGTTCCTCTTGCTCATCTCTAGATTTGAAATTCACTGATTTTGTGCTGATATGCTCAGGATCCCTCAAGTCCAAATCGAACACTTGATCTTGCATCTACCCTTGAAGTTGGATCATCAGTGAACAGGGTACCCGGTGAACAAAACAAGCATTCCAGTAGCGCAAAGTCAGTTATGACAATAGCATTTCAGTTTGCCTTTGAGATACATCTGCAAGAAAATGTGGCAGCTATGGCTCGACAATACGTCCGAAGCATAATATCTTCTGTTCAGAGAGTGGCGTTAGCTCTCTCCCCTTCTAATATCGGTTCACTTCCAGGTATCAGGCCACCACCAGGCACGCCTGAAGCACAAACACTAGCTCGCTGGATCTGCCAAAGCTATAGGTATGTAATTCATTGGTGGATACTTCTACTAGGATCAACTTTATTATTGACTTTAAGTTGGAAATGGCTAGAGGAAGTCTAAAATAACAGTCAATCAGATATAGGTTAGTTTTTTTTTTCAGATATAGGTTAGTTTGAGTCATCATAGACGAGTATTGTTTTCAGAACATGTCATCTGAGGGCCATTGCTGTACCTTTGAATTGCTCTTCATCTGAAGCAAACATATCTTCAAGGCTGTTTGAGACTAAGATCTTTGATGGTTTACATATGTGAGATATTCTTCTGTGAACAATCAGCTCAAAGTAGATTTCTGGGTTCAGTTTCACTTTTTCCTCTTCAAAAGATTAAAAACAAGGGACCTTATATTCTTGAAGTAATCTGTACTCGGGTATATTTTTATTTGGGTGTCTCGTTCAATTTCAAAATGACCGTCGCTTTAAATTCCATAATTTTTTCTGCAGGTTCTTTTTAGGTGTGGAGTTGCTCAAACCTGGTAGTGAAGGAAGTGAATCAATCCTCAAAACTCTTTGGCATCACTCTGACGCTGTCATCTGCTGCTCATTGAAGGTAGATACTTTGTAGCTTTTGTTGACGTTGTCAGTAAGTTCCTTAGCACAATCGTTTATCTTTCATTTGCTTTGATACTTTTTAAAGAGGTGGAAATAATTTCTCAATCCATTCAAAAGTAAGGAGAATTTGCAATTAAGTAAGACTGTTTAAATTCTGAAATTGATTCGTGGTGGTTTGTGCAGCCGTTGCCAGTTTTCACGTTTGCAAATCAGGCAGGACTGGATATGCTAGAAACTACTTTAATTGCACTTCAAGACATTACTCTGGAGAAGATATTCGATGACAACGGGAGGAAGACGCTATTCTCTGAGCTCCCTCAGATTATGCAGCAGGTACAGATCTTTAGCAGCTACATCTTGTACTTGTAATCATATGCAACATACTTTTGTTGAAGTCTCTGTCCTTAACATTGGTTTTACTTGAATTTGCAGGGATTTGCGTGTCTCCAAAGCGGGATCTGCATGTCGAGTATGGGAAGGCCTATATCTTATGAGAGGGCTGTAGCTTGGAAGGTGTTGAATGAAGAAGAAAATGCGCACTGCATATGCTTCATGTTTGTTAACTGGTCTTTTGTTTAACTTCTTAGGAGACAAATCTAGGCTTTAAATTAAGTCATATTTAGAAGGAGAAACATCAATCACATTTTGTCCTAATTCGTAGACTGGCCTGGTTGAATTACTCTGCCCCAAACGTTGGAATATATTCTGACTTATATCCTAAGTTTATGAACCTTGTTACATCTCCAAATTTTCGTTTACTACGATCTGGAAATTGGTTGAACTTGGAGAACAGGTCTTTTACTCCTTTCATCCTAAAATAATCATCGGAATCCTCAACTTCAGTTGATAATTTATCAAATTTCTAAGTGCAACCAGTTGAATTCCCAGTTGATAATTTGTCAAATTTGTGAAGTGCAAACTGTTGCATTCCAAGTCACACAATTTTAAACTTAGTACTCCTTTTGGCCACCACAAATAAGACAAAACATAATTCAATTATGATAGGAAGAAATCAAATGTTATTTTTAAGAAATGTCAAATAATCTTCAACTATGGTGCATTAACAGCAAGCTTACAGTGACAGTTTTGACAAAAGCTAAACATACATATAGTGAAACTTTTCTTTTTTGGTCTTTCGCATGTCCTGATAATTTTATTTTTATTGCAAATCTTTTGCAAAACTCTTAATCAGAAATGGGAATGTTTGTGCAAGTAATTTCGTCCAAATGGGTACAATCACACCTCTTCCAAGAATATGGAACTCTTCTTCGCCAATTGTCATTCACATCTTTCCCTCATCTCAAACAAAGTTAATTCCTGTAAAGAAAAGACATAAAGTTTGTTAATTTCGTGCCATTCTTCCATTGGAAGAAATTAGACAAATAAAAAAGAAAAAACAATAGTATACTATTCATTTGTCCTAAAATAATTGTCTTTTTTTTTATTGTATAAACAATATATGTTGAAAGATTTTTTTCTTTTAATTTCTGACCTAATTTTTGTGTGTTGTTGATGAAGCCCTGGAACTCTTTAAGACTATCAACATTCATTTCGGGATAGTTAAACCGAATCTCAACCCTATTTTAAAGTTGTACAGTGGTACCAAATATAAGCTGAAAATCCCGATCTTGACTTCAAACTTCCCGAATTGAATTCTCCTCTGTCCCAAAATTATTGTCCAGTTTGAATTTTCATTTTTAGTTTAAATTGTATTAAAAGTGAAATCTCAAATTAGACAATAATTTTGGGACAGAGAGTATAATTTTATCAGATTACTTAAGTGTGGTATGTATGCTTGCCTAGTATTATACCTTCATAGTATTTGCTACAATTATGTTGAGGCTTACCTGAACCGTGAATACTCTTCTTCGCTACCACACTTTAATATATAGTCCAACTAAGGATACTAGATTCTAAGCATTGGTGTAATGAAATTGATAGAGTGCTGCTTATCATTTAGTAATTATGCAATAACTAGCTGGATTAGACGTGCTTCGCGCATATATACGATGACATAATGTAACTTGTATAAAAAAATAAATTTTTAAATTTTAAAAACTATAAGTCATGTTGCTGTCTATCACACAATTTATACAATATTTTAACAAATTTATAATAGTAAGTAATGTTGCTGGTTAGGGGATTAGGATGCGGGATATTTATTACTAGAAAGTTGATGGTTCGATTCTCGGTGGAGTCATCCATTTTCTTTTTTTTTTTTAAAAAAAAAGAATTTTTCAGAATTTTAATAATAAAATAATTAGTGAAAGGGAGATCAAAGGTTAAAAAATAATTTATTATCACAAAATTAGATATAAGTAGTAATTTATTGACCTAAAGATAGAAATAATTGCAATAGGTGAGATAATGATTAAACGAGATCAGGGTTCATTCTCCCGAAACCTCTGCCTCTCCGCCATTTGCTAATTCTCTAGAACGCTGATTGTAAGAGCAAATTCTAGACTGATATAAGGAAGATGGACCATATTGCTTTTAGGGACAGATTTTGGGATGTGGAGTTTGCATACCATCAAGTAATTCTGTTACGAGAGCGACAAATGAACTCTTTGATTCAGGATGCACGACGACTTTTACCATTTGGTGGCCAAGAGCTTTTGGAAACAATGCATACTCTCAATGCGACCACAAAAGACTTTGTCGCCTTCGGGCACAGCTGAATGTGATACCAAATCACGAATACTTAGCATTTTATGGTCCTTGCAAAATTCGGGTGCTTCTAGGGATATATAGTGTAGGTTGGCTCCCTGTGATCAATTAGGAAATGTTTTTTTCTCCAGCTACTCCACTTAGTAACACAGGGTTGGAAATACTGAACCAAACCTCCAAAATATGTCGCGGTATACCTGGTCCGTATTCCCCAAGGCGATTGCATACTGCAAAGTATAACAATGACATGTTGTATATAAGATTTGCCACACAGGCGGAGTGTCATTTGCATCAGTTTGAACGTCAAAATGCCGATCCATATCCGTGGTTTTGGTTCGTCTGAAAAAGCAATGTCCCGAGCTAATACTGAAAATGCACAGGAACCATTCACTTTTATGACACCACCTCCTCCATGACACCACCTCTCCTTTATGTAATGTGTGCTAACTGACTGAGAACTGTAACTTGAGTTTGGTCCCAGATTCATATTTTAGGAATAACTTTGCCTATGAATGCAAATTCCAGAGAGAAGAAATGTTATGCTGACTTATTTCAACTAAAAAAATAAAAGATTAAACAAATTAGCAAATATGTTTATCAAAATATGTTTTAAAAAATTAAATGATGAACTACTAAAGTGAATTAACGAATAAAAAAATATAAACAAAGTTGGTGCACAATTTCTTTTTAATAAAAAACAAGTTAACGTATGGGAAGGATTACCAAACCCAACATACATTCCCAAGTATAATATATATTGATATTGATATGTTTTAAATGATACGACACTCATAAGTTCTTAAAATTTTAATTACTAAAACTGGACTATTAAAATGGGTAATAAAAGAGTTCCAAAAAAAAGTCACATTGTGTTGGCAGCTTAGGTCAAAACCGGGTTTTCCTCCAACATACTACAAACCCAACCCCTACAATGTTAAAACATCAGGTAGGAGGATGAACGATTTTGATAAGAAACTAGTTCAATGTTAGAGTTTTTAGTCTGAAAATTATGTATATGTGGCCTATTTTTGGTTCCAAAAATTTCACACATGCAAAAGACACTCTCACTTCACCCATGGAGAAAGAAAAAAGAAAAAACAACGATCAGAAAACATTCAGAGAGGATAAATGTGCGTGTTTGTTTGAACTGAACTTTATTATTATAATTTTGCAATGAAAGAGGCAAACTCTTGATCCCAAAACTATTAAACTACATGATTAAAATACCCGAATAAATTACTTTCTAGAAATAGGAGAAATCACAATTAAGCTATAAAATACTTGAATATGAATAGCGTATGGAGATTATACCACTACAAGAAAATGGTCCTTTTATGACACTAAAAATTGTCTTAATAAGCGGTCTATAACGCATTTTAGTTTTTTCCCAAACTTCTCCAAAACGTGATCCATGCGGTTGTGTTAATAGGTACTCACTTTATAATGACATTTTGAGGTGTCTTGTATACTCACATTAGACTGATCCACATACGAAATGCGCAGTCTAAGTGCCTCAATTGGAAGATTTTCCCATTAAAAAAAATTGTTATGTTTTAGTACCAAAATAATTCAATTGACTAAAATTTGTGCATCTATTAAAAATAGGTAAAACTTCATTGTGATATCTAATATCAATCCCGTGAGTGTAATAAACACTAAAACTAGTTTCCAACACAAACTCTCTCAATTCACAATCTAATGGAAGCTCTGATAACTTTGTAGAAATTTTGAACTTGTGCTTTTCTCAATCCAATTGCCAAAAAACCTGAAGTGAAACATTAAATTAGTTCAATAATGAATGACCATTATGAATAAAGATTGTATTTGCTCTTACAAAGTTAAAAATAAAAAAAAGTTTCAACAAGGCATCTACTCCAAATGTAGTAAAATTAAAGTTAAACTAAACTAATTAATTATGTAACAAACAAAGAAAACTGTAGCACATTAGGGACACATGCTGGACAAAATCTTCTCCAGTTCTATATGACAAACAACTTTGTGGATCAAAATAACTCAAAAGACACAAGAAAATATAAAAGTAAAGTATTGCCATTATAGTATGAGAGAGACGAGATTAATAAACCTATTTGTTTAAATACTAGTAACATAATAGTACAATATAGAATGATTATCATTCTTATCGTAAGATTCAAAAGAATGTGCATGAAGAAATGTAGTACTTACATAATTAATGGCAACACATCTCTGTAAAAATTATTACCACTAATTCAGATTCTTGTTGTCATGCTCACAAGTTAATCCTCAAGACTAACTCCATGATAAACATACCACTTTCAATATTCTAATAAAATTATTCATATTTAGTTTTGTACTTTGTATTATTTTCCAGTATCAATGTGGACTAATATAATCAACATTTCTAGAAGAAAACAGGAACCATTGTTGCCCAAAAGACCACAATATATTATTGAAAATGGAATCAAATAGGCTATAAAAAATTAAATGATTACAGAACAAGATCACCTTAACCATTATTCTTTTTTTTTCCCGAAGGGACTTCCTCTCACGAAAGACATAGAAAAAATTCTTAACACGGATAACAAGAACAAAAAGACGCACCAGATGTTTATAGAGCCCTGCTGCATTACTTATCTTCCAAGAGCTAGATTTTGACAGATCCAAACCTTGATCAATTACATATCTAATAGTACCAAAAAGTGTAGTAAGTACAGCAAGTACTCCCAAACCTATAAGAAGTCCAGTAGCACTAACAACATCCTTCAACACAAAATTCAATATATTAGCCAACACAAATTGCACAGTAGCACTACTAGTATAGACGACAAATCCCAACCTCTTCGAAACAGTCCCCGACCTCCATTTTTTCTAGTGACATACTTTATCCCTAAATTCTAAAAAAACCTTCAAATCACCTTCATAAATATGATCTTTGCCAAAAACCTTTTGTACAAAGTCTACAATTTCTCTTCGAGACCATTCCCGTGTCGTCATTACCCAAACAGATTCAATGCAATTCTCTATTCATGAAACCCGCACTAATGAACTTGCATTCTACAAATCAACATTTAAAGCTTCCACATTAGCCCAGAATGCACCTCATCTTGAAATAGTGAAATTAGTGAGAACTACGAAGTTGAAACGTTTTGAGATCTTAGACCATTAAACATTTAAGGAGAAAAATTTCATCAAGTGTTGTAAATTAATCTAAAATTAGTCAGACAATATATTCAAAAGAAATTAAATTATAGAAAGGTACCAATTAGAATCATTAACATTTAAAATAAAAAAAAGAGAAAGAAAGAATCATTAAGATTACTTTCATCAAGGGTTTGTCTTTTTGGCTTTCACTGGTGATTTCGTTGGGCAACAACATTCAAAATCCTCTGAATTTTTTTTTTTCGC